CTTCAAACGCACGAAATTCAATCCCAAAACGACAGCAAAACGTGGAGAATTTTCGAAATTTGAAGAATGCAAATCCAAGCACGAAGCTGAATTTCAGCGGAAGGGCTTAAAGTCCAAAAGTTTTGGGATCTTAGCGCTTGACTTCAAACGCACGAGATCCAATCCGCAAACGATGGCAAAACGTGGAAAATTTTCGAAATTTGACAACGCATATCGCTTACATCTTTGCCTTGTTTATTTTCTTATTTTGGGGAGGAGGAGGATCCTAGTGGGAGGGATGTTATCGGACGCTCCAAGCTAGTAAGGTAAAACGAGTTAATTTTTACATTCTCCTCGTTAAAAACGATGTTGTTCTTAGGTACTTATGTAACCATGTTGTTCACGTTCTTGTTGCATGTTGTTCTTGTTAAAAATGAAGATAAAGAGAAACAAAGGGCATCGCCTATTTTGGTCTCATTGAAGTGGTTAATCATGAATGTCTACCACTCCAGCAATTGATCTGTGCTTTACAAGAGAGGCATGTGAAGAATATGTTGAACCCCTAGTACTGCTACATACTGGCTCTGCTCCTTGATTTACTGCTCGTGCTCCAAGAATATTAAGATGCTTAAATGTTCAATCCTTGATTTACTCGTGCTCCAAGAATATTAAGATGCTTAAATGTTCAATCTTTCCTGGCTAGTTTCTCTCGGTTTCACATCTTTACCGAATGCCGCTCGTGGGAAGATCATCCTAGCTAGAAAGTCTCTTTTTTTGACCCTCATATACTCTCTCTGAGTCCCTCGAATTTCCGCTCTCTGCTTTCCTTCTGCTCGAATTTTTCACTCGTCTCAGATAACTCCACCGATCTTCATGTAGATGAACCACCGAACCATCATGAACAGTGCCGGTTTAATAAGGATATTACCAGTACTAGCATGTAACATGGCCCGAAGTTGTACGATGCAACTTGTTCGCTTATCATGTCATATTATCCACGGTTGCACAGGCGACATGGAAGGACCCTCTACGACACTAAAGCCAGGCAATAAAGGTAGACCAATTCCCTTACCTTTGCCTCCAGCCTTATCTGTAGTGCCACCTGATGAGGATACAACACGTCTAGACGAGGGGCTATACGAGGGCTTTCTTGATGTTCCCCCTTTGTCTACTAGTATAATTTCTGAAGGCTTTATAATTGATGTTCCCCCTTCGTCTGCTACTTCCATGTTTGGACGTTGTAGTTGCTGCGTGTCGTTTGATATGACAGAGGTGGCGTTATGTAGCTTGTCAACGTGTACTGCAGGCTGTTCCGCTGTGAGAGTGTCCCCGTGCTTGACAAGAAGTGGACTCCCTTGTTTAGAAGTGCGTGGCTGAGATTGAACTTCTCCCGCCTCTTCAGGTCGTTTAGAAGCTGAGCTAATAGCTGAACTAGTAACCAGGAGGTCTTCAACATTATTTGCGTTCTTGTTCGTTGTAGTAGTGTTACTTGTGTTTGTGCCTATGAGACCAGCTTCTGTGTCCGAAGAAACCGAAGCAGCAGACGCAAATGCTGTAGAGGAAACAGAACAAGGCCGCGGGTCCGGGGAAGGTGTCGGTATAGTACTAGCTGCAGGCACCAGGTGGTGATCTTCAGCATCATTTGATGCTGTTCCTGTAGATGCGGTGGTCGCAGACGCAGTAGATGAAGTAGGTTCACTCACTATAGCAGTACTAGTCGCAGGCTCTGCTGACGGCACGCTGTAATCCAAACTGGTGCTGCTTGGTGCCGAGGTCGTTGCAGTACTACTGGCTGGTGCAGTTGTTGTTGCAGATGAACAAGGCTCGTCTTCCGCACCTACTTGATCATGAGCATGCTTTTCTTGCACATTTTGTTCTTGTACTTCACCTCCTCGTCCTCCTTCTCCATGATCTACCTCTTCTTGCTTACCACTAGTTGTAGACCTAGTTGTAGACAATCGTCCTGGTGCACCAGGTGGACTACTCACTTCTGGCTCCTCGTCTCGGTAATTTAATGGCGAATCATGGTCGAAGCAGACGTCATCGTCTACCTCACAGGAGTCAGCACTTTCATCCACAGCAGGCGTCGACAGAAACAATTGCGTCGCCAGTCTAGCACGCACGACGCACATTAGACCGACATTAAACTACTTATAGCTTGAAATAAACCATCTTTGGCGCGTCTTTCTCATCTTTCCCTTTTATTTTAGGAACAACAACCTCCAAAGTTCAAGAAAGTCAATGATGCTTGTTTTTCTTTTTCATCAGATGATTATATAATTTATGGGTTTTATAGCCTTAAACAGAAAAATCTGTGCCAGAAACCCTCCTCAGTCAAGCGTAGCGGCACCAAAGCGAATCGAACCCGTTGTAGTGCAGCGATCTGACCGAGTAAAGCTTCCGCCCAATCAAGAAAAACGAGTTCCTGTTCATCAAGGGAGAAATTACGGAGAGAGTAGTCGAAGCCGCTCGTCTGTTTGAGAAACTTTAGCTCTTGGAGTGCTTCTCGAAAAGCGCTGACGTCTTTCACGCAACTTCGGACTATGGGGGATTAGAAAAGCCAAGATCAAGAACATGCAGGAGATTCTAGGTAGTTGTATATTCTTGTAGTTGACCCCTCATCTTGTTCGACTGAAGCCAAGTTGTCGCTCAACCAACGAATTTGAGTACCAGTACTCACCCTCACCCAACAATAAAGCTGATAAGTGAACAGCCCAACGCCGAAACCACTAAGCCATAATAGTAACTCCTTTCGAGATCCCATCGAAAGACAGTGCCTGGAGCGGAGTTTTCCGCGGCCCATTGTATCAAGTGGAACCAGGGGTAGACATCATCCTGTTCGTCTGCCTCTACCAAACCCTGCAGCTCCGACAAGGACTCGACTAGATCGGCGTCTTGGTAAATGAAGGTGGGACAACGGGGGAGAGAGTAGAGGCTTTCACTTCTTTTCTGACTAGTAACTAAAGCGGGTTCACGACGTAAATAATCACTTCAATTTCCATCTCCCTCCATCCTTGTCATAAGCGATGGTGCTTCTCCACCCTCTGCCATCTCCACTCCTTCTAGTAGGTCATCGAAATCTTCGTCTTCCTCGTCTGAGGGTTCTCCTGGGAGTGCTTGCTGGATAAAAAACCGTCCATCGTCATGACTCAAATCACTGTCATCCATGCCTACGTAATTTCGTGCTCAATTAAAAGTTAAGGCCTATGATCATAGTTTTGAACGTTTTGCTCTGTGTGTCGTCGGTCAAGAGTGACTATATCACTGTTTCTTTGATGCCTAAGTCGTGTTCAATATTATTATGCGCCCTGTGCGGAATTTGAATACAGCCCAGCCTTTTTCACGAAGTAAGATGATGTCACACGTCGTGCAGGGATGATCCCGATTCATGCGTTTGGTACTAGTACCCTTTGAACTTCACACCAGGAGTTGGTAGCTCTCAACCACTCGGTCAGATCTCAACGAGCGCTCTTTATCGCTGGGACCTTCGGCGCAAAGACCCGAACAAATTGTAGGCCTTCCTACAACAGTGGGGATAAATAGTAGAGGCTCCTCTGGTCCGTGCCTCGAGTCTCTATCTCCGAACAGGTGGAGGTGGAGGTGGGCGATTGTAGAGGGAAGTATCAAGTCGGTCCACTTGTGAGTACTTACAACATTATTCTTAAGCTTCTTTGAAATCCCACAACATCTCCAGGACCCCTGCATTGCATATGATGTACTTGTTCCTCTTCCCAGAGAGCTTATGATCTACCACTCAACAAACGCAGTGCATTCACCTAAGTACTTCACGCCTCGTCTCCAGTCCCAAACTTTGGCTCAGATGGAGTAAAATGTGAGGATGCACTCTCTAGGTTGGAATCAGTGCGAGCTCCGTGATCGCGCCGCATCGCATTCAATTTATCCTCAATGAGATCTTGAGCATGCTGATCGTTGTTGCCTCGCTCCTCTTGGGCGCGGGTTAGAGGGGGTGGAACAAGAAGTAAATAATAAATACATAGCATATTTGTATTTCATCCTAGGAATTTCTAAATGTGAATCTTCATATTTCGCCGACGAAAGTTGAACCTAGTCTTAACAGCAACTGCCGCTCACGAAGTGCCTTTAGCGCTTTGCTGTCCTCCTTGTGGGGGTCATACTTTGCTCCAGGTGCATGCCCTAGATAAAACTCGATTTGCTTCGCGGTACTGGCAGATTGGTCGCCTGCTTGGAAAGTTGTGGGATGTAAAAAGTGCTGTTTACCCAAGATGTATAAGCGTAGATAGGTAAAGAGGACGAAAATGCCAGTAGTTCTAGTAGCTGATGTAGCTTCGATCAAATCAATATCACTACCTCCCCCAGCCAAATCGCGCACCAAATCGTCCCGAATAATGCCACTCGCAACATGTTCCGCGGTATGTTGATAAGCAGCCGCTTTCCCCACCTTGTCGTCCACTCCTTCTTGCAAATGCTCGACGACAGTTCTATTTAGAGCTGACGATGATGATGATAAAGATAATGATTGTACCTACTCCAGAGGTGTTGTACTACTACATCTTTTCTATCCTTTGCACTTTCTCACATGTTTCCTGTAGATTTCGACCCTCTTTGCTCTTGCTTGTGGTGTCATGATCTTCCTAACTTATAGCCTGAGAATCTAAGAAGGAAACTACAGTTTCATCCCGGATGTGTCAAGAAGAAGACACATCGGCCCTTGAAATAATCCCGGAAAGTGACACCGAGACAAATATATTAAGTATGTGTCTTCGAAGAAGAAGATGAGGGAATGGCTCCGGTATTGGGTAGGAGCCTGAATTTGATCACAAGGGTTCTCTTCTTGTTTTCCTTTATGATCAAATTCAGGTTACCAAATACCAGAACCATACTAGACAATGAAGTTGAAGAATTGCCTTAATCTATAGGAAATAGCACTGTCTTCATCGTCCTGGTCTTCTTTAACACCCAGCTCAGACAGAAGAGCTGACGCTTTCGAACCATGTTCCACAGCCTTCGCAAAATGCGCACGACTAGCTGCTGCCAATTGCGTCACGCTGTCCAGGGCTGTGAGGTAATTGCCACCGAAATCGTGATCGCGTTTGACTCCTTCTATTAGATGACCTCGCGAATGATTATATATCCACATAGAAGTAGTTTTGTTCCACATAGAGGTAGTTTTGTTCTACTCGAGGTAACTTAGTAAATGGCCCAGTTGTAGAAGGACATCCCTCAATGCGTCAAGCAAGTGCGTCAGTGTCTCAGTGTATCTATAGTAGAGATGGATTTCAGTGTCTCCGTGTATAGTAGAGATGGATTAGGGGGAGCCTTAATTCTAGTTCTATGGCGGAAGAAGGCACATCCGGATCTTTTTTGTTGGTCCTGGTGATGCTGTTCTCGTTCTTGACAATATTCTGATGCTCCTTCCACAAATTTGCAAAGCGTTTCCTTCCCTCTCGTGACCGTAATAGCTCGCCCGCATGACCTAGCTCCGCAAAGAAATTTTGCCGTGGATTAGAAGCAAAAATGTGGAGAATGTTGAAGTGAAAATAAAGCACGCATGTTGTATATTATGTCCTCCCTGACGTTTTAACGAAGAGATGAAAGTTGAAATTGTAAAACAAAATTACACCCCATCAATTCACGACCTGCTTAGTAGCAGTACTACAACAGCATTAGCGCCATAACATCTTCTTGCACTGCAGAAGCATCCTGTTCTCCCTGTAATCTCTGCGCAGTAGATGAAGCATCCCTGACGCCATTTAAGGCATAGAGTGGGACTCGCGTACTCTCAACAGATCGTAAGACTGCCCAAAATTGCAAGGACATGTAGTTTCTGATGATCATCCTGTGGGTTTTTTATTGTGAATGTGTCGCCCTATGTATACTATGGGATAATGAGCTGATACTTGATGATGATGTTAGTCGGTTCGGAATTGCCCTACGACTTCCCTGAATCTCTTCTGAGTTTTACGGATTTCCCTGATGTTAAAACTGTTGTGTTGAACTGATACTTATGACAGAGAAAGTATAGTGGCACTGGATAACAACTAAAAGCGCAACAAACGTACTAACTTAGTTTGTTTTCCTCAGCAATTCTAGTGATATGTGCGGGGTAAGTGGTCGTGTGCGGGGTAAGTGGAGCAGAGTGGTAAGGGGAACATAAGACGACACCCAATGAAGCACCGACAACAGACTACAAGCAAGGATTTCACAGGTATCGTTAGACGAGATCAAGATACTCATGTTCACAGACAAGATCAAGATATGTATGATCATAGAGCAGAAGAAGCGAGTGAGACCGATGTCTAACAGTTAAAGAAGTTCGTTGTCATCTCTAAATGAAACCACCACAACTTAATCAGAAAGTATTGCTGCTGCTGCCTTACCATCTGCTGCCCTTTGGGCGTAGGCAACCAACTCTAACGTTATGACAACTTTTAAGTGATGAATTTTCAGTCGTGAGCGGGGTCGAGTCATGGGCGGTGGGGTCGCAAAACAGAAATTATAGGGAATCTTCTATGATATTTTTCTGGAAATCAATCTAGGTGACTAGGGATTCTTTTTCAATTTCAAGCAATCTGGGGAAATTATGGCACATCTATCAGACATATTCTTGTTTCATACTTTTGTTTATCATTCATCTATCGAAACGGTGACACTGTTTATTGATTTTCCTTAAGGACGACGAGAAGTTCTTCTCTATCTCATATATATCTAGATGATTTGTTCTCCTGTTCAAGAATAGTTAGACGGAAACGGATGTTTGTTTTCAGTACTCAACATTCACTTGTACACAGACTTTGATTATTCATACTTGATTAAGAAACACTACTTAGCAATGGATCGAAACTGGACTTTTTTAAATGTTGTTCGCAATCAAAAAATACTCTGTTTCATCGAACAATTAACCGTTGTTCGGACTCAAAAAATACTCTGTTTCATCGAACAATTAACCGTTGTTCGGACTCAAAAAATACTCTTGAAACAAACGTAGGACTTAATAATCTTGATATTATTGAAGTTGGTTTCTAATAAATTATCACGTGTACATAGCTGTTCTTACTTAATTATGGACGACGAAAGTTACCTCTACCTCTCGCGTAGATCGTGGTCGGCTGTATTGGTCGGCGCGGGAGAGAAGGTAGAGACTACAAGAACGAATTAACTCAGTTTTTCTGAATTTCTATTTTTTGGTACGCACATCCACGGTCTTAACCTCTACTAGCTGTTAACGAATCTAAGCCTCTACCTAGCAATCAACGAAAGTTCCAAATTGTACAATGTCACTTCTTGCCCTCTGATGACCTGTCAGACGGTGTCGAGTCGTCAGCTTAGAAGCTTTATTGCTTGCCGCATTCTATTGTCTATTTTCCTGCTTGGTCTCCAAGTGGTCCCATTTAATTTCAGCAGCTACAACTCTAGCTAATTTCAAGTAGAAATTTCAGAGTTTCTTATTTGGAGGTCGTTGTGGTCGGGTCTCATCATTACTGGTGATGCCATTGTAGTACAGTTGTTCTTTTCTGTAGGATAATATCACCTGCCTTTATAATAACTTCAGTTTTTTTCTCTATCTTAATATCAAAACCTTCTAAGCCGTAGCCGTTACTTATCACTGCTCGTCTTGTATCCTCATTGCAGTTCTTATTCATCGAATTTTGACGTTTTTTTTTTCCTAATTTCTTTCATATCTACTCTAACATGTCAAAACTTACATAATTTGTACAAGAATATACCATTACCATCAGCATCATCATCTAAATTCATGTCAAAATTCATATAATTTGTACAAGGTAACATCCTCCACTAATCTTACTTACCTACCTACATCACTTTTTTTTCTGTTTTGAAGAAACTAAACAAAAGACATTAGACGAGAGAGAAAAAGCGCACACCCTACGTCGCGCACCAGTAGACCCTAGGCAGAACCTTCATCCCGGCGCCACCCATACGCATACACGCAGCTCTCTTGTGCTACTAAAATGACCCCTACCGAAGTACTCAGTAGCACAAGAAAGGCATGCTTATGCCGAGAAGAGTTTCGATGGCGGCCGAGAGGAGTTTCGCCAAATTTTAGGAAAAAGCAACGAAATCCGACAAGAAGAAAAAACAAGCAAAACCAACACGACCAGAAATAAGCCAGAAAGCAAACAAGTCAAAAAGTAGTTTGTTGTCTACTGATGCTATGAAAGGGCGCGCGCTTATGTTTAACACTGGTCGGTGCATAGAATGTAACCAGAGAGAAAACTTGACAAAATAGAATGATCGGGATCATCCTCCTGAATCAGATCATAGGTATCCTCCTCATTCACATGAGGACCCATTTCTTGTCCATTGTTCAGCGCCTCAGATGCTGCGCCACGGCCACCTGTGATGGTGACGCCATCTACTTGTTCAGGATCCTTTCTTAGACGGACCTCCTACAAATGAAATCCAGCCTGAATTAAAGAGTAATGAAACATTTGCCCCCCTTAGAAGAAATAATCTTACCAGGATGCTTGCGAAGATGGATTTCTTGTGGAAGAAGCCGTAATTTGACGAGTGGTGCTGCGTCTCCTTGATGTTCAGGGCCATCTTTCAGCACAGGAGTATCGTGATGATGCTTGTTGTCATGGCCTGAAGCAGCGCGTGGCTCCTCAAGAAAAGAAGCTTCCTCCGTTGGAAGCGAAGTAGACTCCTGCTGGGAACCTAGTAGAAGGTGGCGGTTTTTTTTAGAAGAAGTTCTTCATCTTATGGCTTCTTTCTGTCGACAAGTATGATCTACGTGCTGCATACTGCTCTGCTCGTTGTAGTAGACTTAGATTTAGCATAATTAGACAACGTAAACCTTCTCAAGAAAAACGTTATCAATCGAGGAGAAGTAAGTATAGTACCCACTCCTACGCCGACTTTTGGATTCTCTTCCGCAATATCGTTTGCCACTGGTTCCTCGTCTAAGAAGGACGCCGTGATATTATTGCCAGGCGATGCCGCAATACTTTCAGGCGTTGATGCCGCAATAAGCTCAGGCGGTCGATCCATCTCGCCTTGTGATGAGTTTAAAGATGCAATCATTTGCATGAACAAAGTGACTCGTATGATCTACGTGCTGCCTAGTATTGCTCTGCTCGTTGTTTTAAACTTAGACTTAGCATAATGAGACAGCGTAAAAGCCTTCAATTTCAATAGTCATCAGCAAATAAGAAAAAGTTATTAGTGAGTAATATTTATAGATACTTAGTTAGTACCTTCTCCCGCGGCTACGACTGGTGGGCCTTTCTCTTCCAAAGTATCCATATGGTTTGCCCCTGGTTCCTCGTCTAAGAAGGATGCCGTAATATTATTGCCAGGGGATGCCGCAATACTTTCAGGCGTTGATGCCGCAATAAGCTCAGGCGGTCGATCCATCTCGCCTTGTGATGAGTTTAAAGATGCAATCATTTGCATGAACAAAGTGACTCGTATGATCTACGTGCTGCCTAGTATTGCTCTGCTCGTTGTTTTACACTTAGACTTAGCATAATGAGACAGCGTAAAAGCCTTCAATTTCAATAGTCATCAGCAAATAAGAAAAAGTTATTAGTGAGTAATATTTATAGATACTTAGTTAGTACCTTCTCCCGCGGCTACGACTGGTGGGCCTTTCTCTTCCAAAGTATCCATATGGTTTGCCACTGGTTCCTCGTCTAAGAAAGACGCCGTGATATTATTGCCAAGCGATGCCGCAATACTTTCAGGCGTTGATGCCGCAATAAGCTCAGGCGGTCGATCCATTTCGCCTTGTGATGAGTTTAAAGATACAATCATTTGCATGAACAAAGTGACTCGATCAATCATGAGGAGAAGACTATTTTCTTTTCGCGTACAAGATGATCTTCCCTCAGTGGTTTCTGCGAGACATCCAGCGAATCGTTTGCACGTCCTTGATTCAGTATGATCATCCATATCGATATCATTCGTCAACTCATCAGTAAGAAGTACTTCCAGTAGTTTCCTTTATGGCCGGAACGCCTGGCCCACTTGTGGAGCTGCCTCGTGCTTGATGTTCAGGACCGTGATGGCCTTGCGCATCAGCATCGTGATGAGAGTTGTTCTCATGGCCTGAAACAACGCGTGGCTCCTCAAGAAAAGAGGGCTCCTCCGTTGGAAGCGAAGTAGATTTCTGGGAACCTAGTAGAAGATGGCGGCTTTTTTTAGAAGAAGTTCTTCATCTTATGGCTTCTTTCTGTCGACAAGTATGATCTACATGCTACATACTGCTCTGCTCGTTGTAGTAAACTTATGGAGTTAGCATAATGAGACAACAGAAACCTTCAATAAACAGCATCAGTAGTCTCTACTAGAGGAGAAGTAAGTATAGTACCCACTCCTACGCCGATTTTTGGATTCGCTTCCGAAATATCGTTTGCCACTGGTTCCTCGTCTAAGAAAGACGCCGTGATATTATTGCCAGGCGATGCCGCAATACTTTCAGGCGTTGATGCCGCAATAAGCTCAGGCGGTCGATCCATCTCGCCTTGTGATGAGTCTAAAAGATGCAATCATTTGCATGAACAAAGTGACTCGCATGATCTACGTGCTGCCTAGTGTTGCTCTGCTCGTTGTAGTAAGCTTAGACTTAGCATAATGAGACAGCATAAAAACCTTCAATTTCAATAGTCATCAGCAAATAAGAAAAAGTTACTAGTGGGTAATATTTATACTACTTAGTTAGTACCTTCTCCCGCGGCTACGACTGGTGGGCCTTTCTCTTCCAAAGTATCCATATGGTTTGCCCCTGGTTCCTCGTCTAAGAAGGATGCCGCTTCACCATCGTCAGGAGGTGATGCCGCAGTACTTCCAGGTGCTGGTTGCGCCGCATCTTGACCTAGTGTTGAGAAAAGTAATTGCAATTTTGGATGATGAACAAACAATCATGGCTCGGTCAATCACGAGAAGGTTTTTTTTCAATGCAAGCAAAAGATCTCTTCTCATTGATTTCTGATAGACATGATCCAGAGAATTCCAGCGCACTTCCTTGATTCAGTATGATCATCAATATTCATGCGCAAATTTATCAGTAAGAAGTACTTGCTTCTTCTTGTCCCGGTCCAGCTGTTGTAGTTTCCTCGTCTAGTTGTACAGCTGGAGCGTCTGTCGCTGGATTGGCTAGCGTAACGCCTGTCGCTGTATTGGCTTGTGCATCTGCACGCACTTGTCCCACTCCTTCAAAAAATGAAGTTGTGCGTGTGACACGAGCATCTACTTGAATAGAAGTTGCAGGATCTACTTCTTCAGTTGCAGGATGCCCTTGTTCTGTTCCTTCCTCCAGACCGCCACAAGCTTCTCCGATGCAGGTGATAAACGGTGTGGTCACCTCCTCTTTGCTACTTCTACTTGTGCTAACAGAAGAAGAAGTAGACGTTGCAGAAGGGCCTTCTTCTGCTCGACGAGTCCTAGTACTAGCCTGTGACAGTGAAGAAAGATCATGACTGCTGCCCGGACGATGAGGAACATCAGGGCTACTAAAGGTGGATGAGAGCTCGCTATCGGAGGAGTCTAGTACTGTTTCGCCTTGTTGAGAGTTTTTTAGCGCTTTCTCAGCTGCTTTCAGCTTGGCTGTGAGCTTGCGGACATTTTGTCGATCGTCAGTATTTTTCGCGTTTGCCAGCTCGCCCCTTACGCGTCGCAATTCTGCCTGAAGCTCCTCCTTGTCAGAGGCGGCTTTCTCCAGAGCCGTCAACGCGGCTTGTACCGCCTCCCGAGATGCCTTTCTTGCTTGTGCATGCTTGTCTACTGCTGATTCAGCTTCCGGATCAGCTCCAGCACTTGGGTGATGCTTAGAGTGCGTAAGTAGAGTCACGAAAGATTCATCTTCTGAGTGCGTAGACAGAGCCACTCAAATTCTTCACTTGTTCCTAGGTTGTTGTAAGTGGGATATGCAACTACAACTACTCAGCAACCTATGACAAAATGCATGCATATGTCCCTTTTGCCAACATTCCTGATGACAAAAGAATGAGGGAACAAAGAATACCAAGGACAAGATGGAGATGGTTCTCCCTGAAAATGGGTGATAAAGATAAGGAAAGTCCGGGCGAGACCAATCTTTATCACAGTTGAAGTTGTAGTTGCCATAGCAGCATGATCCTGAGATGGTTCGGCAGCCCCATTGCGGCTCGCTCCTGGAGGTGATAATTCGCGTCGTGCTTCAGACAGCTCCAATTTGATCGCAGTTTCTGTCTTTTCGAGCTTTTCGAGTTTTTCCTGCTCTACTTGCAGATGCGAGCGTAGTTGCTCAACAGAAGCAGTCGACGATGTTTCTTGATCAACCTCCTCCTGATCTTGTTCTGGATTTCTGGAAGTGGTACTAGGAGAGGCTTCATCTACGTTATGCTCGGCAAGCTTCAACATCAAGACCTTGGCAGACTGCTCGTCAAGTGCAGCTTCAGCGTCCCATAGCTCTGACTGCAGACCTGAGATTTCGTCATATTTTGCTTGTTGTTCTCCCACCTCTGCTTTGACGCGGGCTACCGCCTGCTCGAGTGTGCTCACTCTGGTCGCAGCCTCTTCGGTGCCAGCAGAAGCTCTTTCGGCACTAGCGAGTTCTGCTTCTTCTTCAACGAGCTGGATTCGCAACTTCCAAGGTCCTGTGGCCCCGCTTGGAAGCTGTGCCTCGAGTAGTTGCATCTGCGTTATATTAGAGGTCGTCACGATCTCATATCTCCGAGTTGAAAAAAAATTGAGATTACAAAATGAAATACATAATAAGACCGGTGGAGCACGTCTAGCTAGGAAACAAAATTACACAAAAAAAAGGAAGAAATCCAACTGTTTAATAAAACTATTGTGGCCACGTTTATGTTAGGATCCGTTTGAAAAAATGAAATACATAATAAGCATAAGTACTTCCCTGATAATAAGCATAACTCCTTAAAGACTGTTTGTAGCTATTTCTTACAAAAGAAATCTGCAAAATATCTATCATTGCCATGTCGTGTCTGAGGACATGGGAATAATGAGATGGACCGAGGAAGACCAAAGTACTACTGAGATTCTTTTTACGTCTACGTGATTCATGAGAAGAGCCTTAATCTCAGAAGTTGCGGTTTTAGCCTCAGCTATAGTGGCTCGCTCCTCTGCCGTTTTTGCATCCCCCTTAGCAACATTCAGGTCAGATTCCAGTGTGGAAATTCGCGACGCTTGCTGTCTATTTGCTTCATCGAGCTCGCTCCGTTGCTGTGCATTTGCTTCGAGCTCGCTCTGTTGAGCTCTAGTAGCTGCGCCCTCCGCTGCGATTTCCCTCCCGGTGGCGGCAGCGACTTCACCTTGCGCCGCAGCTAGCTCAGCCTGCACACGGGTCGTTGTCTCCCTAGATGTAGTGACTTCAGCTGCCGCTTCGCTCTTGAGTCGAGCGATGTGAGCTTCCGTAGCAGTTGTGAGCTGAGTGAGTTCGTCTTCTGCGGTACTTGCCTTTTCGTTAGCGGAAGCGACTTCAGCATCTGCGCTTTTTGCTCTTTCGATGGCGGCAGCCGTCTCTGAAGCGAGCCCTTGTTCCTCAAGCCGGAACCTTTCTCTCGCCTGCTTTGCTTCTTCTGTCTCCACTTCGAGTTGTCCTGTTAGTTCTGCGACACTTCTGCTGGCGCCTTCTTTGGTCTTCGTTTGCGCAGCGACTTCGCCAGTAAGCTGAACCACCTCATTCCCTATTGACTCTATCCTGGAGTTCAGCTGCTCCTTCTCCTCCGCCTTTTCCGTCACCTGCTGCGTTGCGACAGCGATCTCAGCATTGACTCTGGCTATTTGCTCACGGAGCTTACGCTCAGATTCGGCCAGAGTCGTCTCCTCGTTCTGCAAGCGGCCCTTCGTCTCTTGAAAGGCGGTCTCACTGTCTCGTAGCTCTTCTGTCTCAGCAGTGCTCTTCTTTCCAGCAGCGACAATTTCACCCGCTAACGCGGCTTGCGCCTCTCGTGCTCGTTGTTAGAAGAGGTAGAGCATGACTATGAGAGTCATCAACGCCAACGTGGATTTCTTGATTTCCCCCACCTTGTGACATCATTCTTGTAATCGAACAACGGATCCCTGATGAGGAAGAACGATAAGAAAGACTCTATGTATACATATATTTTTATTTAAGTACTACTATGTATACTAGTATGACGATCCCCCTTAGTCGTTTTCTTCGGCTTCCAGGGCAGTCTCCCGAGTCCGCAAATCTGCGACAGCAGATTCGAGTTCGCGGCTGCGACTAGCGAGAACAGTTTCTTCGCGTTCCAAAGACGTCAGTGTATTAGCGGTAGCTCTATTTCTCGTCTCAGTGTTCAGGTTACTCGTGTCCGTTTTGCTTTTCATATCTTTCCTTCCATGTTACAAGCGAAACGAAAATCACAAACTCCATTATATATTATAAGACTACTCGTAAGCCTCTGCTGCTCTGCCGTGACCTCAGCTGCAACCTTCGCCGCCTCTGCAGTCTTTGTCTCGAGCGCTTTTGTCTTTGGCGCCACCTCTGCTTCAGCACGTTCTAGCGCCGTCTGCGCCCTTTTTTAGAGCTCATCATCTGACAAGATCGATGTAATCACATATATCGTGTTCTTTTCTTCGCCAGGTAAACGTAAACGTAAAGAAGACCACAGTCTCACAGAACATAATGTGTATTATACTTAATCAGCACGTCGTGAGCACTTCTTTTAATAAGCTAGAACGAATTTCCTAGATGCAATTAGAAGGAAACTACTATGAGTCTCTTTGTTGTAAACCAAAAAACGAAATTTTCTTTTTGAAATAAGCCCTCATAATCTTGTAGCTTCTCGTCCGCTGCCGCCTTGAGATTCTGGAGCCTTTTAAGGCGCTCTGCTAGCCCTCCTGATCCACCAGATTCTTGGTCTGCTCCTGGTGGAGTTTCTGTTATTTCTACCAGCATACTTTCCTCATTTTGAATCCCAGTGTTCACCTCCTCGAGTCGCGTTGTTGCCGTGGCAAGCTCTGTCTGCTCCGTGGCCACCTTTTCCTGCAGAGCGGATAGCGCAGTTGTGCTTCCTTCCATTAGACGAGGAGGTGATTAGTTCCCTATTAATTAGGATTACCATAAACTCGAGCTTCTTACTTACTTAGGTTCTCGTACTACGTAGACCTGCATCTTCAGGCTACCCCACAAAAGATGAAGATAGTAACCAACCAGTAAAGTAGCTGCCATAATTCCAACTCGCTCTTCGCGGTGGCCAGCGATGTTTCCGTGGCTTTTAGCTCCTGTGTCTTCTCCGAAGCTGTGGCCTCTGCCTCTGTGGCGTCCTTTTGTAATTGGGTGAGCCGCATCCCTTTCTTAGAAGAGGCAGTTCGTTTCCATTGATTAGTCCACCAGATACTTCTATCAGCATATTCATATTGATGTGGCCTCTACGTGGTTATACTTATATATAACATTGAGATTGAGGTATCCTACCTAAGGTCAAGGTCGATGGTACAATCAAACGTAGATGGTCGGTGGTACAATTAAAGACCTTCTACGAATTTCCTATATGGGAGACTCAGACAGGAGATGACCCCAGCAGCAGCATTCTGAGTACAATCTGTTTCCATCGAGTCTATGATTGATCGTGACCACTCTCTGTCTTTTTTTCAATTACTTGGCTATGATCATCTCATTCGTTGCTTTGTATTATCTTGCGTCTCTTTTGCCTGTCTCGTGACAACTATCTCAATGGGGACCCTATGTTAACGTTGTGTTTGTGGACTCTATTATCAGCTAGAACTTCGACGACTGTGTTGCTTGTGACTGTGATTTCTATCTGACTTGCTTTGTATGACTTTCCTTCAGGTGTTCGGTCTTAATCATGACTATCCCTATCGTACTACAACAGATGAGAATGGGGAAAGCCCAAAACGGGACGAAAGATGCGAGATCGATACGAATATTTCAAGAACTTTCACCAAGAATAATTCATAACTGCCTCCTCCACATTCGTCGCCGTTGCTGCCGCTAGCTCCTTCTCATTTTCTTTGAGAGCCCTCTCCTTCTTCCGCAGATTTTTTAGGATTCCTCTTTGCTTCGTTGTCTCCTGGCTCGCCGTATCCAGCTCGCCTTGCTTTGTGGCAAGCTCCTCCGTCGCCTTCGCCAGCTTCTCCTTAGTGGTGGCAAGCTCCTCCGTCGCCTTCGCCAGCTTCTCCTTAGTGGTGACAAGCTTCTCTTCCGGATCTTCTCCTTCCAGGTCGTTAGAGCTGTAGCTCTTGATTGGATCCCTCAGGATAATTGTAACTATCGCAGCACTACGACAAAGAATCGTGAAGAATGCGGAGTAGGGAAAAAACGAAGCTCCGTATTGGAAAAATGAATCATATTTCTTTCCGAAATTAAGTTTTTGAGTACCATGAACGATCATCCTTAATTGCTGCTGCCAGGCCCTCCGTTATCGCATCGTCTTCGGCTGTGCTGCCAAGCACCTCATTCACTTCAGCCTTTAAGGCCTCGATCTCTCGAATCTGGTTCTCTAGCTGCTCTTTCTGATTCATCTGTCCTGTCGTCCCATCTTGGTTCGCCGTTGGAGTAGTCTTTGCGTCCTCCACCCTCTTCTTCAGCGACTCTATCTCGCTGTTCCTAGTACCCAGCCTGGATTCCACCGTAGTAAGCTTCTCTTGCTGCTCAACCAGCTGGTCTTCGATGTCCTTAAGCTCAAGCTTCTTCTTAGCTAGCTTTTCTTTCTTTCCAGCAAGCTCTTTTTCTTTCTCGCGCAGCGCGGCTTCCTTAGGGACACAAAACTGCTTCTGCTTATCAACCAGTCTAGTAGTAAGCGCGAGAAGCTCACCTTGCTGCTTAGCGAGCTCGTCTTGCATCTTCTTGAGTTCCTGGAGTTCTTCTTCAGTCGGCTTCTCTTCATCTGGTGCAGTGGTTAGAACACGACCTCGAATTTTCAAAGGTTCTCAACAAAAATCTTCGTTTGATTCACGACAGCTTCATTTTTTCGAATACGACCCCAGGCATTCATTCTCTACGAGAATTATTGGCGTAGAAAAGACGGTCGTCACGTGATGAACAGCCTAAAGGCTACTCACTTATCTGTGTATAGAATGAAAAATGATTGAGATAGCAGAAAGGCAATAGCAAGTCTATTTTGCTGGTGCTTTCGCATCTGTTCTAGCGTCCTTTCTGAGGTGCAAGTCTATTTCCTTCTTGACGAATGCCCATCGTCCCATAAAGAAGTAGATTCTTCTAGGTTCTCCGAGATACCCTGGTCCCTCTCTCGCGCCCGATTAAGCAGATCATGGATCTTCGGCGGCTCCGAACCATCGACGAAATCTTGGAAAATCGCATTATACTCTTTTCTTAGACATCATAGTCACAGATACTATAAGAGCAGGCTTTGCCTTTGGTAGTTGTACCTTTAGGAGGCTTTGACTACGGGCCGAACTGGAGTCAGAGACCACTTCGTCCCTGAAGAGTCACAAAATCTTTCAAGATATTTCTCTGGGGATATAGTTCTCACAACTCAAGTACACCCATCCATATTCTTACTTCTCTACCTAGGGTAAGATTAATCAAAAACCACCCTTAATGCGTCATTTTCTACGTCGTGGTTCCTGTCCAGAGACTCCACTGCTTTAAGAATAACTGGAATCTTTGGCATCAATAGGTTAGAACTCTCGGTAATAAATTGCCAGACCGTTTACTTATGGGACTGATGTCCTAGCGCTAAGAGAGCTACAGGTGGGGATCCCCACTCCACTTGTAAACTTCCATAGATGATACGATATGGATATCGACTAAACCCAAGCAAGAGAATGTTGAAAACAAACCCATTAGTAGGACCAGCCATATCGATTAAACCTATTGGTAGGATCAGCCAAACAAAAAGAATGTTGAAAACAAGAAGCACGATGAAAAAGATGCTTAAAACACAAGATCTCGAGCTAGTTACACGCGGCGATCGGACAAGGCTGATATATAGAAAAGTATTGGGACACCCCACGTCTACCGACAGCCTTAAGGATACGTGAGTCCTCGCCGATCATCACGTTTTTTGTACCCTGCCTAGTCTCGGAGATCTCCTCTCCCGCCTTCATCCCCGCTTGCGCTTCCGTTCTCCGCTGTTGTTCGCGCTCCTTCCGGAGTCTGTCGTCCAGCCTCTTAAACCCAAGATGAAAACCGAAGAGCGCACGCACAGCAGGCCCGCGCAAACCTCTCAGCTCAGTCCGGACTTATTAGAGGACGACTATGAGAATAAATAGGTTCGTAGTTGCCATCTGATCTTTGTTATTTTCGTGACTCTTTTGTGCTCGCTCCGTCCTGAGTAGAGGTGAGCACTCCATCTATATTTAGGCGCCTGCCAGAATAACAAGAATGCACGGTGCTATGCTTCTCCTTCATGTATTCAACGAACGCAATTTTTCACGACAATGAATTTCCTCCTGCAAGAAACAAAGTCGCCTTAAAAGTAATCTTTGTCATCGTGCGATAATTAGAACAAGCACGGATGTCTACTCACTCAGACGACGTTTCGAGCCCTGGGCATTGCCATCTATCCTCATACCACTTCGGTCAATGGGTATCAATGGATAGGTGGGTATCCATTGATAGGGACGGATCTTCGGACTCCGGCACTGTTGTTCGTAAGAGAAGATATCGTTACACTTCTTGTTGTTGCTGTTGCCACTCCAAGTATCGTAGAGCCCGGCGATCTCCTGCGTTAGAGCTCACCAAGGACCTAAAGCTAAGCTCTACCCCAATTTGTTAGCAATTCGTGGGCGTGGCTGGTCTCCGCGCACAACACTCGGTGAAAAGTAGAGGTCTGTTAAGTACTTATTATAATTCCAAAACAAATGACGAGAGGCGTTCCAAGAGGTGGGGGAGATTGGGGTAGTCAGGTGGGAGAAGTTTTAAGACCGAGAGCGACCATGTCAACGGATAGGTATGCAGAGAGGGCCAGGCATGTCACCGCGAGCGCCCTCTGCAGTGACGCCTCCCGGCGCCATACAACTTAAGGCCAGTAAGAAGTACGTATGCACCTCCGCCGGCGCCGTCTGGCTAGGACGACTCGCATGACTACAACAGATCCCATAGGTAGAGCACAAAACCTATTGCTTTTGTCTCTCTCGTAATTTCTCTCGTAAAGTTCTCATCTTCAGCTTCTTACTTCCTTTTACAGATCACCACAATGAATAGTCCCTTACTTGTTCAATTTCTGTTTCATTTCTTGGCTTCGTGATTGTTGGGCAGAATGATAATGGATAGATCAACAACGTGAAACGGCTCAAGGATCTCAGTCAAGAGGTCCACCAAGATCGTGAACCAAATGGCTACAGGATCAGAATCACACCAGTAGAAAGATCAACAAGATCACACCAAGGGGATCACCATCAGGATGATCACCATAGGAATGGAATACTATCGGGATCGAGAACATCAGCACCGAGATCCCTAGCGTGGCAAGTAGTTTGATACTCATTGACATGAACAAGCACACTTTGGAACTGCATGAGAATCATCAAACTGAATGGACTTGCTCCAACCTTCGCAGGTATAGTGAAGGGGATACTGTTTCCAACTTGACTCCCCTGCGGGTCTAGTTTTCTAGGTTTTCAGTGTTCTAACATTCTATACCTTTGAGGCCATTAGCTTCAGGGAAAACATAAAATTTTTTTTATAGCCTCACCAGTTTGCATTTGCATAGCCTGAATAATTAAATTCTTCACCGTTCTTTTGTAGATTCAAAATGGGCGCCGAAGATAAGAACACTACTCGCCTCGAGGAATTCTCGGGCAGTAGCAAAGACTTGCCTCGCTTCGGGGATTGGCTCTACAAGGTCTATTCTCTGCTGGAAGAAGCAAGCATGGATGTCCACCTTAAGGACATTCTGGAAAAGAAGAAGAAAGTTGAGGAGGTACTTGCACTAGATGCAGTACAGGCCGCGGGTAAGCATCTAAAGAAGGTCAAGACTGTTGTTTTGAACGCTCTGCCGGGTGGCTCGCCGGCTTTGGCTGTGGCTAAAATGGCCTCTCCTCAGCACGTTCTTTCGATCCTGGCTTCCTTGTGTCAAAAGTATGCAAGTCAAGAAACCAGTACTCGTTTCTCCGGGTACAAGCAGATGATGGATCCTCAGCCTTCGGGTACGGATATCATCAGCTGGATCGAAGGAAAAGAGGTCGTCATGGCTGAAACTCTGCAGAACAAAATTGATGCTAAAGAGTTCTTGGCCGCGTGCGTCCTCATTGGCGCTGATAAGAAGTTCGATGTCGTATCGTCTTCCATGTTGGCACGCCAAGAGACATCACTTGATGTCATCAAACCTGCTCTGCGCGAATTCGCGGCTCTGCAGGACCTCAAAGGAGGTGACCACGAACAGGACGCTGCTGCACATGCAGTAGTAAGCCTGAAGAAACAAGTCCAATCCTTGAAGGATAAACTTGCCCACAAGGGTAAAGGAAAAGGAAAGGGCAAAGACCCGCACAAGAAGAAGGTGAAGAAGGATGAGAAGTGGTGCTCGCACTGCAACAAATCCGGACATCTTGAATCTGGGTGCTGGGCAAAAGATCCAAGCAAAGCTCCCAAGAGCTTGCGGGACAAACTAAACAAGAAGAAAGCTGAGGGAAATTCAGTCATTGTCGGTGATGTTGACTCCGTTCAGGCCGGAGACCATCAAGAAGACGCTGACATGACTCCCAACGCTGAAGAACAGAGTGAAGATCCTACCAAGATTCAAGAGCTGAAGCGCGTTCTTGCTTGTTCTCCGGGTGACTTGGCTCACATGAAGTTCAAGTCTGAGGAGACCGAGAAGATGCGCATGAAGGTTCTGAAGGAGGTGGAGCTGGAGCTTTACAACAAAGAAAAGGAGGGCAAGAAGGTTACCTTCCTACTTCCCAACGAAGACGAAGAAGACAAATCTTCGATGGCGGATACTACAGGTGGCATCGAGATGTCTGTCCCTGCTGAACCTACTTTGTATTGTTCTTCTGTGGCTGGTGCTGAGGTATTTTCCGCAGACGTACTAGGTAATGCGTCAAATTTTCAGCCTATTGTGCATGTGTTCAAAGGGCAACAGCAAACCAGAGCGACAGAACAAGAAAAGGAAGATTCAAGTGATTTCTCGTCGGTTTCCGAGTCGTATTTTCGGTCTTTGGATGAGTGCCAATCTGTCTCATGTGAGTCGGTAGAGGGCACCTTTGCGGGGGAAATCTTGTCCAAACAAAATGACCTTGGCACAAGCCCAAGACAACAAAGATCATCGGTCTCACGTGAGTCGGTAAGGACAAGGTCGGACTTGTACACGGGTACAAGTTCAAGCAGTTCATCTTCGTCGGTCGCGGTAGTTTCGGTAAACAAAAGTAGGAGCTGGAGGAATAGCTTCGGGGCGCAAGCTAATCCTGCATTTGTAGGTGGGCAAGCGCGCACGACACTACGTCACAAGCAAGCCTTCGGGAATGCTGGCGCTAGTGCAAATAGCAAAGTAAGTAACCCTTCAGAGGGGGGCCGGCAGTCCAAGTGGATTGTTGACTCAGGGGCATCCCATCACATGACGGGTGACAAATCTGCGTTCAAGAAGTTCACAGGTGTGACGCTTCCCCTGAGCACAGCAGATGGACCTTGTAAAACAAGGGCCCGAGTTGGGTACTTTAAGGCTAACAGCCTGGGTTTGGTGATGGGGCTTTATCATCCTGATTTGCGTCAGCAGCTCATCTCTGTGGAAGAGCTAACGCAAGCGGGAGGTGAGCTTCGTTACGCAAAGAACTCACGGATTGTCTATGATCCTTCGGGTGAAAGGCACATCGCTGAGCTTCAGAACGGAGTGCCGATGGCAACTGTTTCATTTGAAACAGAAGCGTCAGCGCACAGTTCATTTATCTCAAGTGTGTCAAACCCACAAAACAAGCTAAGACTGCATCAGAGATTAGCGCACTTCAACGTCTGGGGCCAAGTGGTTCCTTGTCCGGATTGTGCTAAGTAAGGCTAAAACGTATGGCCAAGTGTCTCACAAGAAACAGCGTGATCCAAGTTACATCGTCGAGAACTGGCATGATCAGGTCGATTGTGACTTCATGGGACCGCTGCCAGCGAGTCACTTAGGTAAAGAGTACGCCTTTGCCTTGATAGACTCTCATACGGATTGGGTTGAAGTGTATGCCATAGCGCAAAAGTCTGACTGTGGTGCAGCTCTAAAGCAATACTGCCGTGAGATGGGCAGCAAACCCAAAAGGGTTCGCACTGATAATGAGCCTACACTAAAAGGGCCTGGTAGTAAATGGAATCTGACATGTGCGGAATTGGATATCCATCCCACGCATTCAGTTCCCTACGAACCTCAACAGAATGGCAAAGTCGAACGTTGGATGCGCACGATGGCAGATGCCATTCGGGCGAATATCCAAGGAGTAGACCCAGCCGTCTGGGACTGGTGCGCGCGCTACGTTGCGTACGTGTTTAACCGTCTACAGAGGAGGAAAGACAAGCCAAGTGCCTATCAGCAAAGGTTCAACAATCAGGCTTCCCTTAAACATCTCAGGAGGTTTGGCTGCATGTGCTACGCCAAAATCCATACGCAGCTAACAAAGCTGGAGGACAGATTCGAAAAGGGGATCTTTCTCGGGTATTCTAGAGAGAATTCCGCGTATCTTGTAGGCGTATGGCGTAAAGACGTCAATGGAAAAGAAAAGTTTGAGGTCATCGAGAATGCTTCCGTGAAGTTCATGGAAGATTGTCTCATTGATGATATAGATTCTCTTAGGACCGATGGCGATCCGTTGCCTATGAAGCGGAAATTGCGCATAGCTGATCCTGCCGATGTTGTAAGGAGGAGTCGCGACCTCTGTGCAGCACTCGGAGGGAGCGGCGATGAGCGATCGCAAACTTCAGAGGGGGCGGATAGCCCGGAGGCCAAGAGAAGGAAAACGGAGAATCCATCAGGCACAGATGTGCCTTCAGGAAACAAAGTGACTGATGCTGGCAAAGGCACAGCAAAACAAACAGTCCCTGGTGATCAGCCGACAGATGGAAGTCCATCGTCGTCTTCATCAGCTGACGGTCAGCCACCGGCGGTGGGACCGATCAACCAACAGCCGAATCCAAATGGGTCGACTGAAATTCCTGTCGAAAGAGGCAAAACAGAGAAAGAAGTGGAACGCTTAGGAGCAGGGCAACCTGATTCAAGTAAGTTTCATGCGTGGGACAAGGTCCTAGTCGACGCGCAACAGCCTCAGGGAGGTCCTGCGACGGATTCCCCAGATTGTTCACATCTAATAGATGACGATCTGAATCCCTTCAAAATGGTCAATCGTGGCGGAACGATGATCAAAGTACGGCTTAGGCGAGGTCGTCCTACGGGCCTGACAAAAGAACAGTGTCCGCACTGGAAAACCAGTGGTCGAAAGAAGAAAAAGGGAAAAGGAACTCAGCAAGAACTTCCGCAGGATGACATAGCAGAAGCTAACGTCGCAAGTGCGTTTACAGCTTTTGGGGGTCCTATGTTGGATCTTGAGGAACAGGAAGTGGCAATATCCTTTACTGTTCAGGTTACTCGTGCAGAAGCCATGAAGGGTCCTGACTCTGTGAAATTCATGGAGGCTGACAACCTTGAAAAGTTGCAGCTAGATAGCTGTAATGTTTGGCGAGCTCTGCATGATGGTGAACTCATGGATGATGATGAGATTGTCCCGTGTGTTGTCATATACACAAAGAAGCGATGTGGTAGATACAAGGCTCGCTGCGTTGCTTTAGGCAATAGTCAGACGAAAGTTAGTATGGCCGATATCTTCTCGCCAACAGTCTCTCACGCGGCTAACAGGGTGTTGTTAGTTGATGCTGCTGCCAATGGCAAAGCCTTAGGCCAGTTTGACATCTCCAACGCATTCGTTAGAAGCGAGCTGGGGGATGATGAGCGCGTGTTCATTAGACTTCCAAAGCATTGGTCTGCGGACCCGCGTGGGGACGTTGTGAGACTATTGAAAAGCCTTTACGGACTGAAGATAGCTCCTAGAAAGTGGTATGATTGCTACTCTAACTTCCTACTGAAAACAGGTTGGGAAAGATGTCCCAATGAGCCCGGTCTCTTCCGGCGCAAAGGTGTAACTATAGCCATCTACGTTGATGACTCCCTAGTTAGTGCCAACACACAGGAGGAAGTAGACCAAGTTATCAAGGAAATCCTGGCGCATTTCGATGGTAAAGTAATTGATGCTGAATGGTCTGCCGACTAGAGAACTCAAATCCGCGATATCTTGGGGGTGCGACTATCGTACACCAGAGAGTCGAAGGAGATGAAACTCGACGCAGAACAGTCCATCAAGAAGCTAGCCGAGAAGTTCAAGGTAGAACCAGGAAGGGCTATTCAGTCGCCTTGTGTTTATAGCGATCTTACTGAAGGCTCAGAAGATTCAAACTTTCCACTGAGAAGTCTCGTCGGAGGTTTGCAATACATTGCTACACAAGCAAGACCAGACTGTTTATTTGCGGCGAACCGCGTTGCGAGGCATGTCACGACTCCGACTTCGGCAGTTATGACAGCTTCCAAACGTGTGCTGCGGTACATGCTGCAAACAGCGTCTTGTGGGGTGGAATACAGTCCAACCCGGGAGAAAGAATTCTTCCAGACTTATGAGGGAGTCCTCAAGAGTCAAAAGAAGTCTGACTTACGAGACTTTGTGGCATTTTCTGATGCAGATTATGCGGGGTGTACAGTCACACTGCGTAGCTGCTCGGGTAGTATACTCTATTATAGGGGTACTCCAGTTGCTTGGAGCTCCAGGAGGCAATCCATTAGAGCAACTAGCACTTGCGAAAGCGAGTATGTCGCGTTGTTCGACACGCTCCAACTTGTGAAGTCTCAAGGCTTTATGGAGTGGTATGCGTCCAACGCTATGCTGCCACAAATTTTCTGTGACAATCAGTCTTCCATCATGGTGGCAGGGACCTCCCTACCCACCAAGAAAACGAAGAGTTTCCAAATGCGTTTTCACGCGGTAAAGGATCACGCAGAGGACATCTGCTATTGCCCGACTCACTTGAATCGAGCTGATCCTCTTACCAAACCAATGGGGAAACCCTTGATGGTGTTCCAAACACCGCCTGGCATTTCGCTCAGCGACATGAAGCGCGACGCGCGTGCGTTGTATTGCTGCATCGCTTGAGGGGGAATGTGGGGTAAGTATCAAGGCCATAGGGGACTGCGGGAACCTATGGAAAGCGGTGTTTTCCTCCCATGCCGTGCGCCGCATCATCGGTAGCGCACTGGGGGCGGGCAGCTAGGTGCCTGCGGGGGTTTTTGTCCGCATAGATAGTGGAATCTACATTGATTTCCAATCGGTTGGTGTCTCAGATGACCGTAGCCATTTCTAATAGTGAGTGACTGTTGTCTTTCTGGTGTTGACTTTGAGCTGGTTGACTGTCGTTGTCGTTTCTGACTTGGTGTTCTCTATCCAGTGTCAAGACGAGGGCAAAGGCCTTCATCGTTGTCACTGAGAGGGGGAATGTTGGGCAGAATGATAATGGATAGATCAACAACGTGAAACGGCTCAAGGATCTCAGTCAAGAGGTCCACCAAGATCGTGAACCAAATGGTTACAGGATCAGAATCACACCAGTAGAAAGATCAACAAGATCACACCAAGGGGATCACCATCAGGATGATCACCATAGGAATGGAATACTATCGGGATCGAGAACATCAGCACCGAGATCCCTAGCGTGGCAAGTAGTTTGATACTCATTGACATGAACAAGCACACTTTGAAACTGCATGAGAATCATCAAACTGAATGGACTTGCTCCAACCTTCGCAGGTATAGTGAAGGGGATACTGTTTCCAACTTGACTCCCCTGCGGGTCTAGTTTTCTAGGTTTTCAGTGTTCTAACAGTGATGCAATAAACAACTGTGGCGAGGATCATACTCAGGTGGAAAGAACTCTTTTCGAGAAACAACGCTACAGGTGGAGACTCTCATCATGAGAGATTAACAAAAAACATAGTAATCTCATGAAGAATTAAAAATATCTATATTTACATGTGCCTTAATTTGGCGGCCTCCCGGAAAATACTCACTGCAGCTTCGGATGTGAACGGCCTCTTTATCTTAAAGCACGCTTGAAGTTGCAAGAAAACGAAATATTTCTAAAAAGATGGCGTAGCTATCCCGCATATCTGCGCCGTGCAAGGTCATAGACATGCAGCGGCTGCTTGATACTAATAAATAATGAGCTTGATACTAATAAATTTCATCTGACATCACGATCACCTCTAGATATTCAAATTGCAAGTATTGTCAATTTCAAAAGATGATGCTTTCTCGAAATCAGAAGAGAAGTGAGAGAAGATGGGAAGTAGTGAACGCTGTGGAAAAACAAAGACAAGTCAAGACAATCAATGACATCATCCTTGCCCACTTTTGTCTCGCCTAGACGGTACATTGGTCAATGCATTTGCATTACCACAGTGCATTAATAGCAATAGCATTGTGATCCAATATATGCTCAGGAGTAAACGTAAGCTAAATAGTATTAAAAGTTCTGCCCTTCGTTTTTGCCACAGATATGGACTATGGCTTGTGTTTGGCTGTAGATAAGGAAACACTCAATAATGAACTCCAAAGAGCCGTAATTCTATTCACCTTTCGTCCGTTATCCTTGACCTCAAGTCCGGAGACTAATAAGTGGGTTACTTTACGTCGTAAAGCCGCCACTTTGATCGTAGCCGCATTAACAGTAGCTTGATACCACAGCAGGCAGGCTCTTTTAGATTTGAGAAATGCACTCGATCATGACCCGCTAGAGGTTGAGAGCTTTCCTCCAACAATGTAGCAAAAAAAACTACAGACGGCGAAAGACCCTTTATCAGCAGACTTTCTTCTATGATCAGAAATCCTCTAGTAAATTCTCAGAGTCAATATAATTTACCATACCACTATCTTCAAAGTAATAGATTAATATTGAGTCCAGAAGTCTTAGTTTGGCGGCTGTTGCTCGTATCAAGATCCGCTTCCAAGTACGCTTCCGCTTGCGCTTGGAGAAGAGCGGCCGCTGCAGCAGCCTTGGATATGACCCTATCCGCCATCCCGATTTTATCGTACGCGGGTTCCGCACTAACAGCCCCTCTCTCGAAAACAAGGTCTTGATTTCCCTCTTTGAAGATTTTTAGAGCAACAGAAGCCTCCTTCTTGGTGTCATCTTTGGTCTCTGCTTCTACTGAAAAAAAAAGAATGGCGATGTCTTCGATGAGGAAGAGAACTCGGACGGCCACCTTAACTTTAGTAGCCGCGGTTGGTTCTCCGGGAAGCTTGTTATGAAGCGCCGAACTTAGAGCGTGGACTAAGGTGAAGCTCACATGCTATGATTATCTATCAAACAATAGAAAGAAAATATCAATATAATGCCATTGTATCTATTTGTGAGTTCCGGGGAACCGAAAGTGGCAGCAGAACACAAAGAGGCTTTTCCCTCCTCTGGACTCGGCGCAGCTCACTCGCTGCACCATTTTCTAAGTGTTTTGTAGGAATAGCTCGGCCTTGAGCCAGCGTAATGATAACACATGTGCAAGGTGTGAAAGTGTTCATGAGACGCCATCACGACCGAGTCGTCACATCATGATAGCCGAACCGCATAACGATGTCGTGTGTCTCTCTAAGGTTCTTGCAAACAAGTGCCAAACAAACAACCGACATCGTAACCGAGCTGTACGAACGACTGGTCAATGTCACAACTTACAGAACGAGGGGCAGACGACTGTCTCAACCGACGTCTAAGTCACTCAAATTAACATATTATTAGCACGCTCTAGAAGAGTGCCACGATCAACAACGTCTTGCTTTGTCTCTTCATTCAAAACAACCACGAAGTTGCGAAGATGTTACCTACTTGATGAGTCTGCGGTAGTCTTAACATGCGCAGTCGATTGCGCGATCTGCGTACTCAGCGGCAAGGCTTCCAGCTTTGATCGAGGATGTGAGCGCTTCTATGACGTTGTTGGGCGGGTAAGTAGCGGAAAGAGCAGCACGGGCAAAGGTAGGAATTGTGGTTGTCGATATGCCATTCACAGTCGAAATACATTTAGACGAAGGCTGCTCAATCATCAACAAGTTACTTCTAGTTCTTGGTTGTGCAAACTATGGGCCGCGTGTCAACACCAGTTGGCTTCAACGATGCATATGATCGCAAAACAACTCCTCTTGCTTTGATTTTCTCATCACATGTACATGTTCTAGTCAAGCAATTGAGCATCCTCACATATGTAAACAAAGAAGGTAAGCGACCTCTTTCGTCGCCAATTTATGCTAATGCATTGCTCGCGCAGAAAGAGTCAAGTCATAACTTGTAGCGTGGTCGCAGTTTCGGTTTTGCATAGTTTCGCGTATGTGGCATAATCCTCTGCAAAGATAAATGAAGGCATAGCTCTTCCTGCTTCAAACTTAACCAGTGAGACAAACGTAAAAGTAATTCTAACAAGGAATCTAACTAATGTTGATTCTCATTGTAAAAGCATCTTGGCTACACACTTCGTTAAATAAGAATGGTCAAGCGCGGGAAAAGTGTCAATAGTCTATTAGACTAATACAATATCTAGCAATTACCACCTTAGCCTCGATTTTCAACATGTAGGAGCAACGACCTATTTTCCCTTTTGTTTTGTTACTCATCCAGGCGAGCACTTTTCAATATAAAAAAGCATAGTATCATGAAAATTATGCGGCGAGAACGTTTATCCGACTGGAAAGTAGTCAATAAGCAGCATGAGGAAAGCCGTAAAGAATCGTCCTCAGAATGCGGTAGGGGCGTACCGATTCCATTAGAGGGCGAGCTCACGAAGTTTCATCTTCTAAGTTCAACTCCTTCACCTCTCAGAATCCTAGCTGTCAGACGAAGATAGGAAAGAAGATACAATCGGAGCGCATCTTGCAAAGACGTAACTATGTGTCATGTCTGCATCCATGATAGTACTGCTCCTAGTCGTGCCCATAACTAAATTATGACAGCTAATCATCTCTACACGAAGATGCGCCATGTGGGGTATGGTGTGGCGAGAAAACCTGTCTCGGAAACATGTAAGTTATCGTGAGCCTTATTGTCAAATTCGTATCGAAACGGCAAGAAGGCCACAAGCCTGTCACGAAGTTCTTCTGTTGTTTCTGCGAGCTCACTCATGACGCGGTCGTTGGATTTCTCGTCTGCGACGCACGTCAGCTCCCTCTGCAGCTTCACTTCTGCCGAAAGTATCCTTTTGATGTCCTCAGGGTCAGGCGTTAGAGCAGCTCGCATGCAGTACGCTATAATTACGGGCCCCGTACGCGGGCCCAAAAGAGGCCCGCCGGTGCCCGAGGGTGAAAAGTAGACAGATAAGAACACCAAAGGAAACGCCTGCGCGTGTGATGTCAGTCACGCGGCCCATAGATAGCTAGCCAGCCAGCTTAAAGCAGAAGCGGAAGCCCTAGCTAGATAGCTAAGTAGCTTGGAAGGCATCGCCAGAGAGATTCGAAGCTTGAGCCACCTGGCTCAGAAGCCGTCGCCAACTAGCTCAAAAGCCGCAGCCAGCTAGCTTAAGGCCCTCAGATTCCTAGGCTGAGGGCCATAGCTGGTAGCCAAGAGCGAAGTCACCGGCAGTGAGCTTAAAACCAACAGCCCGCCAGCCCACTCGGAAGCTATAGCAAGCCAGCTGGGCGGGCTAGCTTACTTACATAGACATAGAAGCCAGCGCCCATGGATGCGATGGCCAGCTAGCTCTGAAGCCTTGGCCAGCTGGCTCCGAAGCCCTGGCCAGCTAGCTCGACAGCATATGGCTAGCTAGCTCAGAAGCCATGGCCAGCTAGCTCAGAAGCCATGGCCAGCTAGCTCCGAAGCTTTGGGCAGCGAGCTCGCAAGCCTTGGCCAGCTAGCTCGGAAGCCTTCGCCAGCTAGCTCGGAAGCCTTTGGCAGCTTGCTAGCCTACTTAGAGGCCAACCAATGGCAATAGGCGCCGCGGTTCGGTAGCTTAGGCGCTATCGCAAGCTAGCTTCGAAGGAAGCCATGGCCAGCCAGCTTAGAATCCGTGGGCGGCTAACTCTGAGGCCTTCTCTGGGCAGCTAGCTCAGAAGCCCTGGCCAGCTAGCTCAGAAGCAGAAGCCCCGGCCAGCTAGCTCAGAAACCCTGGATAGCTAGCTCAGAATCAATGGCCACCTACCCTAGCTCAGAAGTCATGGGCAGCTAACTCCGAAGGCGATGCTTTGGTCAGCTGGCTCGCAAGCTTTGGCCAGCTAGCTCAGAAGCTTTGGCTTGGGCAACCTGCTCGCTTACCTTCTGCGAAGCCTATGTGTGCCATGGCTTTGGCTTGCTAGCTTAGAAGCCGACACCAGCTACCTTGGGAGCCTGCCATGGCTGCCGAGCTTAGAAGCTTTGGGCCGCTGGCTTAGAAGGTAGAAGCTATGGCCAGCTAGCTCAGAAGCTTAAGTCAGCTAGCTCAGAAGCCCTGGGAAACTAACCCCATCTCGTTGAAATATTTGCAAAGTATGCAGCACTTCTTTAGAGAGGGGTCTATAATAGCCAACGTTATTCAGAAGAGGGCCCTTCAGGGAGCTCCTTAAGAAGCCACTCTTAAGGAGATCGCAGACGTAGAACTTGCTTCACAACTAGAGCACAAAATAGATAAACACCCCAACCCGAAAAAACAACCAGCAGAACGGGCCAGCGGCTTCCCTTTCTTCCATACCGCAGGCTGCGGGCATTTCCATCCGATTGACAAAAGGGGCAAGAGGCACACTGGCCCACATTTCCCAGCCCAAGTCACTTGGTGCCATCTCGTCCGCGCCCGACGGAGCCGCTTCCGTCACTGGCGGATCAGCATTCACCTGATTGGCCCGCCGCGCTGCCGACGCAGCCTTCCTTTTCTCAGCAAGCGGCTCCTTCGCTATTTCCGTGGCCTTCTTTGCCTTGGCATCCTTTTGGGCTAGTCTTTTCGGATTCAATTTCTTAGGTTTCGCATATGCTGGCGAGTGAAACAACTTGCGCCCCCTATCCGGCACCAGCTTGCACGCTGGGCCTCTTCCTTCCCGTTTCAGTTCCTGGAGCTCCTTCGCCAACCCGGCCTGAAAATCCGGCTTACGAAACGAGGGACGAAACGGGATACCTTTTGCATCGACCAAAACACCACAATAATATAAACCAGCTTCGCTCCCCCGAAACAGCCGCCCAGCCGCCCTCGCCAACAAATTCGGGCAACAAGTCTGCCCCGCTTTGCTTACCAGGTTCTTTCCCTTGTTACAAGCAGGCAGCACACAAGTCAGGGGCCCCTTACTCCAGTCTACATGTGGCTCGGGTCCCCACAAAAGTGCCATCTCTTCTGCGATTCGTCCTGGAATCCCTCACAAGGTTGGCACAGCACCAACTTGGCAGAGCGATCCCCTCGCGGGTGAGGCTCCATCTTGTTCCACCAATTTTCTTCCGGCGGTGATTCAGTGGCCACATCCGAAGCAAGCCATTTGATTAAAAAACCAGCCAGGCGCCGGCCCATAAGAACCATTGCCCGAGAATCTCGATTCACTGACTTGCTGTCGCTTTCGCATTAGCTCTCGCTGGCGCATACTCACAAGCAGCGCCCAAGGAGGTAAACTCAATCCCCCTTTTTCCTATCAAGCTCTCTCCAAAAGAGCGCGCACATTCTTGCGGAAACCGCTGTAGGAAATGTCCTAGACACCTCCCAAATTCCTGTGACGTCCCCAGAACATCCGAAGTCTGGAAGGCCTGGCCGCTCTTCTGAGTAAGCCTCTCACCATGCGCCAAGCAGCCAGCCGCCCCCAACTCTATACTCCTACTAAATAACTGCTATAAAAATCACCGACAGAGCAAGGGTAGCGCCGCCGCGCACTCCCCCGGGAAGGCAGCCCCTGCCCCTGGTCGACAGCCCCTGCGCTACGGCCTAAGGAGTGCACGCGCCTCCACCCATCCGCCCAAGCCAGCCAACCACCCCGCCAAGCTGATTCCCCCGTCACCCACGAGCCACCCACGCAAGATGCCACCACGGCAAAAACACCCTACAGGCACTGCTCCGAGCCCTGTGCAAGCTTCCACCAAAGTCCTCCGCCATGGCCCTCGCCCTGGAAGACCTCACGCGACGCGGGTGCCCCACCTGACAGCCCGATCGACGCCAAATTTTATCGATCGGTCGCGCCACCCATATACCCCCACCGTCGCCAGGGTTCTAAGTCTGCCTCCTCTATAGACTTCTCTATAAGGTCTTCTATAACCTCTGCTATAACCTCTACTATATCTCTCCCCGGGACACCTGCAAAACCGCGAAACAAGCAAAACCCACGCGATTTCACCACGTCAAGATATAGCAGAGGACATAAGAGAGCTTATAGAAGTGCGTATAGATGACCCTATAGAAGGGTCTGTAAAAGAGCTTATAAGAGCCCCTGTAGAAGACCCAGCGCCCAAAAGTGGCATCTCTACAGGAGCCGCGAAACCTAAAAAGCCCCAGACCCAAGAACGCAACCACGCTCCCCGTCGACCACCGAACCCCGACACGGTTCCCGCTGATCCAAGGGGCCAACGCAGTGCCGCGCATCTCCCTGCAAGCCTAGTCTCGCGCGGCATGGGCCCGGATGAGCTACCGAAACCCAACAACAGAGAAAACCCTAACACCAAACACCAACCACCATCGAAGAGTGCCGAGTAGAACAAAGCAAGAACACCACAGAAAAAGCAACGACCACCAAGCACGATCCTAAGAAAGAGGCACAACCCCCACCCGCGCAAGACCTGCCAAACAAGACCCACAGCCAACGCGCGCGGGCGGTTTCCTCTAAATCTTATAGCAGTCACATAGAAGATATTGAGTTGCGTTTGTGGCTGGCTTCCTGCCGCATGACTTTCAGCTAGCAGCCCGCGGAGCTTATTCACATACTGCGCACAGAAAACCCCAACCGAGATACCAGCGCCACCCCTACAGGCCCGACTGAGCGTCTGCGCTTCTAATTCTTCCTGCGCAAATATTGGCCGCAGAGCCGCTTGCTCCGAGAGTTGCTCTCTGAAGCTGACCTGACCAAGCAAGCCGCTGCACCCATATCACGGGAAAGGCTAGAAAACCGACCGGCTTCCGCCTCCACAGCATCCACCACGTTGCTCGCAACGCCCATAGCCTTCATGGCTCCGCTTTTCACCGCTTGCCAACCGTGCAAAGGCGCTCAAAGTTGTTCTAGGCGAAGTCGGTCAAGCGTTTGCTTGGCTGCGAGCGCCGCTCTGACAGAGTAAGGCCCCAGGTTCAACTCAAAGGTGCTGCGCTTAGTTTTGAAGATGATTCGTCCCCGCTGAGTCTTGAACTATCCACCGGAAGCAGCCCCACCTCGAAGGGATTTGCAGCAATCGGCCGCACTGCCACCAGTCCCAACTTCGTAAAATCTAACATCCCCAATAAACGGCCCCGCATTCCCTGCGCGCAAGTATGTCTCTGACGATCGAGCGCTCTCATTTTCTGGGGATTTGATGGCCCTGCCCAAACAAATTCCTAGCCCCGTTTACTTCGTCACCGTATCCAAAATGGGGCAAATCTTTCTAGTTTTAAATCCTGCCAAGTTCAATTGATTTCGTCCGTGCCTCCTTATCCAGGGCAGCCGTGCCTTGGTTCGGCACCGCTTCAGTGAACGCGCTACCCGTCCAAGGTTGCCCAAGTACTAGCCCACGCCCTTGACCATCAAAAACCGAGGGCAACTGGAAAGCAAGCGGCGCATTCCCTTCTGGTTCGTCCGGTTTGCCGTCAAGTTCCTGAATAAACTCGGCGTCTTGCCTGATACATTTCAAGCAGCAAGATACCCAGACCAACCAGCGTGCTCAAATACGCAACAAAGTTGGCGACTTGATCACGCAGACGCTGCCGCTTAGCTTTAGGCGCCTTCCTCATATCCGTCGCAATCTTCATAATTGTGACCGCCTCCACCCCCAGGCGCCCCCGGAGGATTGCCCGGCGGCTTACCATGGCGGCAAAGTCCCGGGTCCGGTCGAGTCATCGAGATAAGCCCCAGGATCGCTGCGAGGACCCCAGAGGTCACAACAGCGCGCGACATGCCGCCGCACGTGACAGGAGAGCGAGTGACGGTGGTCATTTTGCAGCGGTTTCCCGCTTGGAGCCCTCTCCCAAACCCTGCTAAGGAAAGGCCAAGGCGTGGCCGTTTTTGGGAAACCAAGAGGCAAACGCCGGAGCGAAATGGCACCAGAGTAGCTCTCTGCTTTCTGAGTTCTGATGTGACTGCCAAACCCTTACAACAATTCCGCACGTTTTGTGGGCAAGCATCTTAAGATATGTCCGCGCACGAATTCAATCTATCCACACCACTCGCTCCGTCCAACTCATGAAGTCCTACTTTCAAAACCTGCCCAAATTTCAGCAATACCATCAACAGCCACGAAGATATATCCAAGGAAGAAAATTTGAAACGTTTACGATCTCACTGTCTAGGCCTTCCTCCCCTTCTTCCCGTCTCACTTCCTCGCCGTTAATGCATCCGAGGGCTTCCCCCTCGGGCTCTAAAGGCTCCACCTTCACCTTCAGACGTCGCACACATCCTCGCATGTTATTTTTGCTGTGCGCCCAGCCACTCCCAACAACCTCAGAGCCACCACCTTATCATCGCCACCGCTTCAACCATCGCGCGCGTCACTTCTATCGTCTAGTTCTCAACGCGGGAGCGTCGTCGTAGATTGCCTGACATATTCCATAGCCGCACATATCTATCAAGCTTCGAGGCTCCTGCCTCCTCCTTTTTCCTAGGAGGCAGCTGAAGTTCTTTATCTTTTCTGGCCTTTTTTCTACTTTTTTCCTACTTTTTCCGCTAAAGATGACGCGGGGAAATCATGGGTAGAGGTTCCTCTGTAGACGCTGGGGGTAAAGTAGCCTAGTGCCATGCTTCAGAGTTCACCCAGCTCTATTATGTTCCAGAGTTCCTACAACCCCTGGCCCCCGCCCTCCCCTTGTTCCAGAAGTCGCCACTTTCTCTAGCGGCTTCGTCACAACTGCAACAGACCAGCGAGACTTCCTTGTGCCACCAGTGGCCGGAGCAGAAGCTGACACGGCATCAATCTTTACTAGACTCTCGCCACCCGAGCTGCTGGCGGGTCCCTCAGCGGAACCTTCAACAACTTCGCCCACCGCAGCCGTCGTAGCCTCTCCCTGCAGAGAGTCCGCCGAGACAGTCGCCGAAGCTGGAGGTGAGTGCAGTTGTTCGCTTCTTACCAGAGGCGTCCGCATCATATTAGTCGCCGCGTCGTATTGTTCTAAATGAGTAAGCGGAAGCGTCGCTACTCACTTCATCGTCGAAAGGAGCTAAACCCTGTGACCCAATAGAAGCGCGCGCGCACTCTCTTGCGGACTCGTCTGCTCCGCCTGGTCGAAGAGGTGCACACATTTCAAAATATTCTGTACCAGAAGCAGCGACTTTCTTCGTCTGGGAGGGACGACTACGCGCCTTCCCCTCCACCGGCTCCTTCAACTCAGCCACCGAAAAAGCGGCGCTGTTTAAGCCGCCAGATGAGGCTCTTTTCGATTGCGATTGTGCCTGTAGTTGTTGCGCCCACACGGGAGCGCCCTGCATCTTGCGCAGAGCCTCCACTTTCGCAGAACACTGCTGCTCTCTCTGCTCCAGGATACGACCCAGCAAAGCCTTACACGCAGCCAACGACACTCCTGCACTGGCGTGCCTCATCTCTTCGCTCGAGTTGACGACATCCCAGATAGCCGAGAAGCAGACTGCTCCCGGAAATCGGTGCGCAACCTCCGACGCAGAAATTGCTGCCAAAAGGTTACGCTCGCGATCGTTCTGACAGCTCGCCGCTAGGTCAACCAGATCTACGCTGGATTGTCGCTTGACCACATTGATTAACGCCCCTGGAGCCTTTGCCACAAGGTGCGCCGCAGGCAACAACGGCGGCGGCCCGATAAAACTGGCTTCGATCCACATTACAAACGCCTTCGCCGTCTCCTCCTGTGGTTTCTGTAAAGGCGAGGCTGTTGGGCGTGAGCCTGATACAGAGACCAAGCCAGAAACTCTCAACAGACTTCAGCTCTTTCTCTTTTAGAATTCTACCAGCTTGGATATCCAGCATTTCGCTCTCTTTCTTTAGATCATATTACTTGAAGAAGTCTCCCGAGAGAGAGAGAGAGAGAGAGAGAGAGAGAGAGAGAGAGAGAGAGAGAGAGAGAGAGAGAGAGAGAGAGAGAGAGAGAGAGAGAGAGAGAGAGGAACCTCCCCGATCTGGAGAGGGCGGCCGCCTGGCCCCGACCTGCTGGCGCTTCGGGTGCAGAGGGTTTCCCTCTGGACACCACGCAGCCAGCCCCTGGCCTTGAGGCCTTGCCCAGGTGGCGCCCCTTGTGTTTATGCATCACCCAGCCCAGCTACTCATCAGATTGGCTGACGCCGTCCAGTTGTGGCCAGGGTTGTGAGCCACACGATGGACCGCGTGGGCGCGGTGCTGTCAGCTGCTCAGAGGGCTCCCCTTGGGTCTCATCTCCCCGCACTGTCTGGCCCAGCGCGGTCCCCGTTTGTCTCTCCCCTGGGTGTGGGGCGGCAACCAGCCTGAAGGCCGCCTCCCTGCCAGTCGAGTCCCCTCCAGGATTCGAACCAGAGACCCTCCGGAGCGGAGTGCAAGCACTTGCCCCGTGAGCCAATCTGGCAGGTCTCCCGCTCTAGATGGGTTCTAAACATGTTAGCACTCCACCGTTGGCCTCGACAGCAAGAATTCCACTCGACGGAACTTCGCGTAGCTTCAACGGCGTGGGATCGGGGTGCGCGGAATCCTTATACAACAACAGCACGCTGCTCCGGAAGCACTCCCTCAGACTGTTCGCCGCCGTTTTCACCCACGTCTTCGCGCTGTATTGACTGGCTAGGCGCACACTGGAAAAAGCGTCTCCGCGAAGAAGTTCGAAGGAGTTGTCGCCCACAGGCAGAGCGTGCATCTGCAGAGGCAGAAGAACCAGGAAACCGGCAAGGCCTACTCGCAATTCATCTTGGACAAGTAGCGCCTTCGATTCTTGCTCTTGTCCGCCCATGGCAACATCCTGCTGGCCACCGCCCTCAGTAGAAGACGTGGCCGCGTTGTGGCTCGTATCCGCCTTCTCGTTGTAATGATATTGCCCACCCTCAAAGTGGGCTGCACCATTTCCAGAAGAAGACGAACCACCACGCACCCCAAGGCGAAGACTCAGCTTTCGCCTTTTCTTCCTCCGCTCTCTCGGCCTGTTCAGCCTTCTTCGCCATCTTCTTCCCTTTCTTGCGTTCTTTCTTCGTAGCAGATGCGCTGTCCGGCCCTTTCCCTACATTTCCTGCGTCCTTGTTCCAGGACTCTCCTTCGGTCTTCCAATCCTTCCACTCCTGTGGTTGGTTGTTGTAGTAGCCCCTGTTTTGGTCGTGGTTAAAATTGTACCCACGACGACCTTCGTCCCTATCGTCAGAGTCGTAGTTTTGGTAGGATTTTCCACCTCCATACACTCCCCTTCCACCTCCACGCCCTCCCTTTCCACCTCCGTGGCCAGATTTTCCACCTCCGTGCCCTCCTTGATGTCCTCCCTCACTGTAAGAAGAATGACGGCTGTCCCCATTCCAGCCTTTCTTTCCTCCTCGCTTCTCATTGTACTTGCGTGCGGGATAGTTCCAACCTCCCACTTTGAAGCTGTGAGAAGAATCCTGGAAAGAGTGATCTTACCACTTCCACCAATTCCGGCATCCGTGGCTAGCCTTTAGGAAATGCAATCTGCTACCCCTGTCGTTTGGAAAAGTAAGCGGATGAGATTGATGGGAACTCTTTGGCCCTTCCCGTCACACTTTCTAAATTGCAACGCCTCACCCTAAAGGCAAAGCAATCGCGTCAGCTTCTGGCTTTACTCAACGAGTATTCTCATTGCCTATGCCAAACCTGGAAAAGAAGCGCGGTCTTCCACCGATTGACTTCCCCTAAAGCCTAGCACTTCCAACGCAATGACATCACTCGCTGCTTCTTGATTTTTCCTTTCCATCCACCGGCAAGACATCCTCGGAAAGAATATCGCACACCAGTCCCAAGGTGTCACAGAGAAACCGGCGACGAAAGTCTTCCCTTTCGCACAACCTCCACGCACCTTCTCCACATTAGAACGATCACGCAACTCAGTCAGTAGGGCACTCTCACACATATGACGCCGAGCAAGCGCAGCCACCTTTTCAGCTGTGCTTCTTCTGCCCGCTGTCATCCTCATGCGTCTAGATCCACGCTTGGGACTGTTCCTCAGCATATATTTCCTCTGGGTCTCGGACCCCGGAACAGCCCCCAGCTATGTGTTGACTATGTTTGTGCATGCTCCTAGATTTCACTCTTGGGCTGCACGCTCTTGGCGATTCATTTACGGGGCCCAAGAATGATCCTAAGCCGACCTCGCTAGGAAGCCCATCCCACAGCTTGGTAGCTGTGGCAACCATCTTGCAGTTGGTCACAGCGCCGCCCTGTGGGCGGAACCTTTAGTGTTGACTTTCCAACTCGTCTATCCTATCAATAGCAGCCGCACTACCAAGAAGATCCCCGCAGCCGCTGCCCAGGTCTTCAGTTCTTCAGCGGCCCCTCCTTGTAATTGCTGGCGCACTTCATTCACGAAGGGCCGCCCTGTTACACCCTGGCCAGGTCCTACACTGCCCCCCCTACGCAGTGAGGCATCGGAGCCATCCTTTTAAAAGCTCCACCCGGTGGCACTCATACTCCTACCGCCACTACAGCGAAGGCGCTCAGGTATCAAGTGAGTCCCTAGCCATCTCCCCGCTCCCAAGAAGTGCGCCCAGTACCCTCGCAGATACTAGCAACCCAAATCCTCCAACAGCTCTAAACCCTCGAAAGCTTTCCCTAAAGTCTTTCGACCTTAGCTTAGCCACCTGGCCTAGACAGCTCCCCTACCTTTACTCCTAAGGAGGGCCTCCCCACTAGTTTCAAGGCCCAGCCATGTCTCTCTTCTTTCGAGCGGCACACAGATCCAGCCTCCTTGTAAGTCCTTTCTTATTGAGTAGCCTTACCTAGGTCCCTCGTCTGCTTTTCCGAGCGACTGATCTGGCTTCTCGTTCTGTCCCCTCCCGTCACTACTGTTTTGGTGCTCACTTCCATTTGGAAGCCTCGCCACCCAGTCGTCCCTGCTTCGTCCTCTCGAGTCCTTCTCTGCTCTTCACGGTCTACTCGATTCGAGACAAGGACCGAGAACATTAGGATTAGCCCTCCTCTGTCCTACTACGTAGAAGCAATCCCCAGGCATTCGCCTCCAAAAGAGAGCCCGAAGCAGTTCCATACACAGACACTTACTCCAGTAGAGTAACTCTACTCACGTCACTTGCGGAACGGGGGAACTGGGTCAAAATGTATAAAATAAGGAAGCGACGGCGATGCATGACCCTAGTACGTAGAGCACTGCACTGCATTCACTCGCTGTGATACAGTCGAACTCGCAAAAATTCCTGCACGCCATTCAGTAGATGGAACACACATTAAAGCAAGACATCATCCAAGCAGCCTCCGCGTTCCACAAGTGTATAAAATAAAAAGGCGAAGACGACAGCGACCCCAGTACTGCCAAGAAGGTGAAGACCGTCAAGAGCTAGCACGAAGGGACTGGAGGCCATTGCAGTCACATGGCGACAATGGTCACAGCACTGCGGGCCTGGTCCTTCTGTGTGGGTCCTTATGCTGTTACACATGAGCAAGAAAGCCCACACATTTGACAACCGTGCAAGCACATGAGAATCACGCAAAACCTTCACGGCCTGCACAGCTGAAACAAGTGGCCAAGAACTGCGCAAGGAAGCAGCCAAACGCACCACCTTCGGGGTATAAATGTGCGGCCCTAGCGTTAGCAATGTCCACAGACTGAGATACCGACCAACCAACTACGCCACTAGAATGAACACACTGAAAACACTACCACACGCATGCAAGTCAGGGAGGTTACTGGGGTCACTATTACCAGCCCGCGGGCGAGAAAGGTCGGCGACACGGCTCCCACTAGGATACGGGTGAGGGTGGTGACTACGACTAAGCTGCTCACGGTGATGCTGATGACGATGAGAACGAACAAAGAACCGGGGACCTTGGTGGCGTTCGTGATTCTGGTGGGGCGTTGTGGGGATCTCGGTGCACGGGAGGAACGAAGAACGAGGCGGGGCGAGGGGATTGAAATCAGAACCAGGGACGAGGGCCGAGCTGGATCAAGATTCTCATGCCGATTCGTCACACAGTGACGGCCCTCCTGGTCTTATGCCTACGCCTAGCGTTTTCAGACAAACCGCCCTCACTCCTTGCGCGTGGAGCCTAGTTAGAGGCATGAAAGCTTCTACCCATACACTCACCCACCCACCACAGCCGCCACCTCCCCTCTTTTTTCTTTGGGGCCTGGGTCTACAATTTGCCGCAGCAGTCCCAATTAAATACCCCGCGGGGAGCCTGAAGCACGATGGCCAGGCGCTACGACTACGCAAACGATGAAGCACAGCGGCCACCGCTGTAGAAAAGCTAGAGCCAAGGCCCTACCTACGAGTATATTAGCCGACGGCGCATAGGTAGGACAATGGCGACCCATATCTGACGCACCCCGAGAGACAAGAGCTAAGCCCTACAAGATCGACGAACACGGAGAGGGCCAGAACTTTGACGCGGCCGCTTACTAGTTAAGGCCTGAAGCTGCAACCCGTGGACACTCGGCACAGAGGGCGGCGCCACTGCTAACATCGAACCGCTTTAGAGTGAGGCGGCCCGCGTATAATCGCTGAGGTTTCTTCGGATGCATCGCCGTATTGGTGAGGCTACTCCATACCAGGGTCTTCACGCTTCACGCCGTCGCTTCTCGACCACCTTGCTCCGCAAACACCATCGCCAAAAAAAAGCCAAAGAGAGAAACAGAAACCGGATGGATTACTCCAACCAAAGGAGCTACCTTGTGCCTGCTAGCCACTTCGCTGCTAAGAGCGGGCGGGAGATAAAAAGACCGGCGAGGGAGAGTGGTGGGACGCTCTCCGCCTTTTAATTGAGACGCGAGCAAGACCTGAAGTTTTTCTATTCTTCCGCCCTTCTTTTTTTTTGTCCAAAAAACTCCCCATAGAAAGCCCCTCGTCTCTCGTCTCACACAAAGCAGAACTTTGATTGAAACCCTCGAGGCTCCAACCAGGTCCCAGAGGGCGACTGGCGAGTCACCGAAATGCTTAAAGTTAAAAGGCACCCAGGAAGGTAAGGGGTATTTATGCATTTCGGTTTCACTCGACTCTCAAAAGATTACCTTTTTTTTGGTAGCAACACTTGGGACCTTAGGGCACTCGGACAGCGTGAGCACCTTCTTCTTACTAGAGTATAATAATAACCGAGACCGTTGGGTTTTTGAACCCAACCCGAAGCAAAGAATTTAAAAAAGCCAATCCAAAACAAGGAATCTGAAGCAACCCAATCCGAAACAAGGAATTTAAAACAGCCAACCCGAAGCAAGGAATTTGAAACAGCCAAGCCAAAGCAAGGAATTTAAACAGCCCAACCCGAAGCCAGGAATCTGAAACAGCCAAGCCAAAACAAGGAATTTGAAACAAGGAAACTGGAGCAAGGAATCCGAGACAAAGAATCCGAGACAAGGAAGCTGAGACAAGGAATCTGAGACCAGGAAGCTGAGACAAGGAATCTGAGACAAGGAATCTGAGACAAGGAATCTGAAACGAGGAAGCTGAAACGAGGAATCTGCGGCAAGGAATCTGAAACGAGGAAGCTGAGACAAGGAATCTGAGCCAACCTGTCCAAGACCAAGACAAGCAATCCGAAGCCGCCTGCCTGATGCAAGCCATCCGAAGCAAGCCATCCGAGACAAGCCATCCGAGTAGAGCTATCCGAAACAAAACAACCCAATCCGAAACAAGGAACTTAAAACAGCCAACCCGAAGCAAGGAATTTGAAACAGCCAAGCCAAAACAAGGAAGCTGAAACAACCCAACCCGAAGCAAGGAATTTGAAACAGCCAAGCCAAAACAAGGAATTTGAAACAAGGAGACTGGAACAAGGAATCCGAGACAAAGAATCCGAGACAAAGAATCCGAGACAAAGAATCCGAGACAAAGAATCCGAGACAAAGAATCCGAGACAAAGAATCCGAGACAAAGAATCCGAGACAAAGAATCCGAGACAAAGAATCCGAGACAAAGAATCCGAGACAAAGAATCCGAGACAAAGAATCCGAGACAAAGAATCCGAGACAAAGAATCCGAGACAAAGAATCCGAGACAAAGAATCCGAGACAAAGAATCCGAGACAAGGAAGCTGAGACAAGGAATCTGAGACCAGGAAGCTGAGCCAAGGAATCTGAGACAAGGAATCTGAGACGAGGAATCTGCGGCAAGGAATCTGAAACGAGGAAGCTGAGACAAGGAATCTGAGACAAGGAATCTGAGCCAACCTGTCCAAGACCAAGACAAGCAATCCGAAACCGCCTGCCTGATGCAAGCCACCCGAAGCAAGCCATCCGAAACAAGCCATCCGAGCCGAGCTATCCGAAACAAGCCACCCGAGGCAAGCCATCCGAAACAAGCCACCCGAAACAAGAGACGCGCCCACTTTTTGACCCTGCCCGAAGCAAGGAAGCTGAAACAGCCGCGAGGAATCTGAGACAGCCAATCCAAAACGAGGAACCTGAGAGTGAGACAAGGAATCTGAAGCAAGGAATCCGAGGCAAGGAATCTGAGGCAAGGAATCTGAAGCAAGGAATCTGAGACGGCCAGCCCAAGACAAGCAATGCGAGACAACCTGTCTGAAACAAGCCACCCGAGACAAGCCACCCGAGACAAGCCATCCGAGACAAGCCATCCGAGACAAGCCATCCGGGGCAAGCCATCCGAAACAAGAGACGCGCCCGAGACAGAGAATCTGAGCCAGCCAATCCAAGGCAAAGAATCTGGGCCAAGGAATCTGAGACAGCCTGTCCAAGACAAGCAATCCAGAACAGCCTGTCTGAGACAGACCATCCAAAAAAAGGCATCCGCTACAGCCTGCCTGAAGCAAGCCATCTGAAACAGGCCCAAGCTTCTCTAATATGAGCCCAGAACTTTCCTCACAGACACACCACCACACCCACACCACCACACCCACACCACCACACCCACACCACCACACCCACACCACCACACCCACACCACCACACCCACACCACCACACCCACACCACCACACCCACACCACCACACCCACACCACCACACCCACACCACCACACCCACACCACCACACCCACACCACCACACCCACACCACCACACCCACACCACCACACCCACACACCACACCCACACACCACCACCACACCCACACACCACCACCACGCCCACCCGTGGACACACTCACGTCCACCCGTGGGCGGGGCTTTCTACCCACAGCCCGACCCAGTTTCGCCCGCGTATGAGTTTGCCCGCCCACAAACGCGCCGGGCGCGCTTGTTACAATGGTCTAGCGACAGGGCCGGCGACTTGTGTCTAATATTATAAGTATTAGGACGACTGCAATAATTTGTAGTTGATATATTACAGATACAGCCGTCCTAACGATCTCGGAAACCATTACTAACGCCCCCTTCTCATGCCAACCATTACACCCTCAAAAGAGACTGGAGGAGTCTTGAGACTACTAGTGGTCTCCTAAACAGTCACACATCCCTCTAAAAATGTTACTTATCGTCTCTAGTTCTTCGCAAAAAAGTAACTAGCTAGTTTGTAGGCAAGAGCCCGGCCGCCTTCCATGTGGATATTGGCTGTGAAAAAAACGAATTACGAATCCGCTCGTTCACAATTTTGGGGGTGTGTCTCGTTCATGCATCTACGAAAACCGTAAGCCATCTATCTCCTCCGCCTCTCTGATTTTGAGGCCCGTTGTCTTTGTCCAGTAAGCTTTGACTGTCCCAAGGGCTTGACGCGCCACCGCCAGGCTGGTGTCCCGTCGCCATCTGATGCTACTGACTTCGCTATTTTCATCATCCTCACCATTTTTAGAGGCGCCGCTTCATCATCCGTGGCTGAATAGATTTCCCCGTGGAGTCCCCTACCACTTGGAGGGGAATCCACCCGGATTACAGCTACTTAATAAGTACCTCGAAACAGATGACGAACCACTGCCCTTAACCGTGTCTACACGTCGGTAGATGTTGTCATGGATCTTCTGCAGAGAAGCGCCAACTCTCTCGATAGCGCTCAGGAGACCTCTCTTGAGCCTGTATTCGGCCATGTGTAGCATGATCCGCGTATCCTCGGCACTTCTGCGAGGTTTCTTGGCTTCTTGGCCATTCTTGCCGAGATCGCCGTCCGCCCGGAGACTTGACCCGCTACTTCCTGGCATTCTCGTCACAGCTGCTGCCCCCATTCGCTGACTTGCTTGCCCCGAACCTTCTTGCCCCGTCTTCGGGAAGACGCTTTTTTCAAAAGCATAGCCCCCACAGAGTTCCCCTTCTTCCTCGTTCGAGCCATCAAACATCGCAACTGCAACTTGCAAAACAGCTACTGCTTCCTCCATTGAATGAAAGAAGAGCTCTGCGATTACCTACCTGACTAGGGTTACAGACACTACTACATATTAATATTAATATTTGTTGTTCATGAAAAGAAATATGCTACCTACGTCAGAACTCGAAGTCCCCTCCATTTCATAAATGCAGTAGATACTTTTTAGGTAGTGTTCTGACTAGGCGAATTCTCATAGTCTACCGTTAAAAATTCGAATAACAACTGCTGAGGCACTGGCACACGGGAAAATTGAAATGAAATACTTACCCAAGAAGTAGAAGTCACTGCAGTAGCGAGAGCCTTAGGCTTCTACTTCTGCTAAAGGAGTACTTCAGTTGGTTACGCTACACTGAATCCTCAATATCGACGTGGGTGCACACATAATCCCGCGCAACGACCAAATGCTGCTAGTTAAATGGACGGGAAGAGAATGAGGGGAAGGCCGGACACCCGGGCCGCCCAACAGTATGTTGATATATTCATACACGATGTTAGGCACAGTAAAAACCTGAGAATGTTGATCAAGGGGGTCCCCATAACAAGCCCCTGCAGCTAATAAAGCTTTCGCTTTCGTCACCATCGTACGCACGAAAAATTCACACGACCGCGTGCTCATGAGGCGCAGCGCTTCAGCAGCGTCCATCCTTGCCGGGTGCTTCAGGATCCCCCGCAGCTTCTTATCGGCATGGTCCGCCAGCTTCATCTTCCGCCTCGACTGCTCCTCCGTCAGCTCTTTCTGAGCCTTCTCCTTCATTTTCAGATGCTCGGCGTTCTTCTGTGTCAGCTCTTTTTCTAGGTCTCGGACCTCTTTTTTCAGAACTGGAAGTGCCACCCGCTGCAAATTATCCCTCTCCGCCCTATCCACCTCCACCGTCGTGCCTTGCGTTTCACCCGGCAATGTCGCTTTCCCTTTCGCCTGACTCCGTCTAATTTGCTCTATTTTGCTACTCGAAAAACTGAAATAAGCGAGTTGCCCGAATAATTATAATTGGAATCGCACCAGGAGGGACAAATAGGGTAGAATTAGGTATATACAAACTGGAGACTTAACCCCCGGGGATCCTAAGTCTACTGGTGAGTTATACTTTTTAGTGCTGTGGCAGCACGGTAGGCTGGCTCGGCAGACCCAGGTCTTTGCCGGCGCCGGTCGTTGCACCTACGGCCCATAAGTTTGCCACGGAGCGTGGCGGGAGGCCTTTACCTCCCCAGAGAGGGTTGCGCACCAACGTCCGGGTGTCGTAACCCCTCTCGCGGCTCGGCCGGTGTTCGTGCACCGTCGCCCTACGAGTCAATCAACCGGCACCCGCGAAGTTTCGGGCGCTCGCTCTTCGCGTCGGACGCTTTGGTCCGGGGCGCTTTGGCCCGGGTGCGCGGCTAATCCCTCGGCAGTAGCAGGCGTTGTCCCCCCGCTGGGGGACAAGGTCACTTTGAACCTCCAGCCCGCGCTGTCGGCCTACTACCGGGGCTTGAGCTCCCGCTCAACCTCTGGTCTCGGTTTGACACGTGCCAGCGGTGAGTGGACCGCTCCGAGCCCTTATCCTTTCCTCACCGGCACCTTCCTCCGGAGACCCCGACCAGGCTCCGGCTTCCTGGTGCGGACTTGAGTCGGCGGTCTGAGACTCGCGTCCGCCGTCGAGGGGTTACGGGGACGTGTGCCGGCCTTTGCACAGGTTTGCGTCAGGACCTCCCGCCGGCCAGCGCCCGCGTCGGTGGTGTGCCGGGGCGGCTGCCGCCCTCCACCGCGCTTGTCGCTCCCGTGGGAGGGACGAACTCCCGGAGCGACAGCGACAGCAGGGGCCGGCAGGCGTTCACATAGTTCAGCCAGCCATAGTCGGGCACCAGTGGACTGCTGAACCGTCTGCAGCCGTGGGATGGTGTTGATGAACAGTTTGTGCTTGCCGTGTCTGGTCATGTAGTCCGCCAGGTTCCATTCGGATTTTATGTAGACGTACCACGGTTTGACATTGTTGTCGTACCAGTGATTGACTACGTCTACTGCGGTGTTTGCCACCACCGCGGATTTGCCACTACATTTGATGAAGTTGTAGAGTACTGGCGTGTTGTCGATCAGCACTACGAGGTCGGAGTTGCTGGTCCAACTCGGTAGTTGCTTTGCGGCGAGGCCCACCGCGGCCGCCTCCAGTACCTCTATCCTGGCGGTGGCCCATCGGCCATCCGTTAATGGCTGCATTTGGATGAGGGTCTTCCCGCTGTGGTGGATCATGACGTATCCTAGCGTTGGCTCGCCGTTCGGCCCGCCATCTGTTGACGCGTCCGTGAACAGGAAGCTCAGAGGCTTCACGATTTGTTCTAGCCTGAGTCTGAGCCTGTTCACCTTGTGGACCATCTTCTCGATGGCCGCAGTGGAGCGCAGGAGGGCTCTCCGTTGCCACCGCTGCTTCACCAACTTGTCGAAGGTGGCGTCTTCTGTCCATGCGTAAAGAGATCTCATGATCTCGTTTCCGGCTCTGTTTGCCGCGGACACGGTGATGAAGTTTGCCAGTCCGAGCAGTCGCTGGACCACCTTTTTGTCCAACTGTCCTGTGTTCACTTTCTGCCGGAGCTCGTTTGCGACTTCCGCGACCTGCTGGAGCATGTTGTCTGGCACCACAACATCAATTCCCGTTTTTGGGCTTGTGTCGTAGTGGAGGCCCAGTATGCGCACAATAGGGCTCTTTCTCGAGTCCTGCTGTGCTGTCGCTTTTGTCGCGAGCTCCAGCCCCAGGCAGTCGCAGAGAGCTTCGTATGCCTCTATTGCCTCATCCGCTCCCTCTTCGAGGCTGAGGATGATGGCGTCGTCGATGTAGATTGGCACTACTGTGTGCCCGAGCGTGGCCATTATTTTCATGACCAGCTCCGCCACTCTACACCAGCTGCTGACGCTGAACTTGTTCCCCATGTTCAGTATCGCCGCGAGGAACATGCGGTAGCGCCCCTGGGTGTCGTCCCAGACTCCAACCGGGTTTTCCTCCGGGTGTTTTACCCCTACCTGGTAGTAGGCCTTGCTCCAGTCTCGGAGTGCGATGCAAGGCTTTCTACCTGCCGGGCGGGTCTTCATCCTCTCCTCGTTGAGGAGCCTCACCTGCTCGCCGAGTTGGCGGTGCTCGTCGGTGGTTGTGGCTTCGCTTGCGCTTGTTTTTGCGCGGAAGTCTGCGACCTCTTTAGCCACCTGGCCGCAGATATCCGTGGTGAACTGTGTCACCGGTGCGTGGAGGGTGAGGCCCTCTGCGCCTGCAGGCGCCATGTAGCTTTTTACAATCTCCAGGACCGTTCGCGTCCCGTGGAGCCTCACCTTTTCCGACATTTTTGAGAAGTCGTTTTTCCACCGCTCGTCGATTATCACGCGAACCTTCTCTGGTTCGACCTTTGGGAAGGCGTACGCCGGCATGACCTTGAGGTCCTCTGGATTGATCTCTTTGTATCTGCCCAGCTGGACGTCTGCCTCAATGTTTTTGAGGACTTGCCGAAGGGCTTCCTCTGGGAAACCCTTCGGAGGCGCATCCCGGATTTTTACCGCGGTGCTATAGAATTCTTTGAGGTCCTTTGCCTCCGCGGCATTGACGTCTGCCTTCCAAAGGCCAGTACTCTTGTACTCCCCTATTGTTTGAAATCCATGGAGGATGTCGTCCGGTAGCGACGTGTCCGGATGGCCCGTCAATGCGATGAGTTTTCTCATTGCGATGACGTTCCTTGTTTTGGTTGTCTGTAGCACCCTTTTTAGGTGCTCTGGCGCCGTAGCGTTTATCAAGTCTGCATTTGCTTGCTCCGTCTGCGTCTTCAGACGTCTGAACAAGGCGGTGGCTTGTTTTCTTCGTTTGGCTACCGCTGCCGGCTGTAGCTTCTCGGCAGCTATCAGTTGTTCCCACTCGAGTGGTAGCTTTTGGCCGTAGGTCTCGAAGTGTAGTTGTGCTCGGACCCGATTGACGAAGTTGCAGACCGCGTCATGGAGCTCGCGGCGGTCGTTGCCGTGCTCCATTTCTGCTTGGCTGACGTGTAGTGGCGTGGCAGTCGTCATTTTTTGTGACTAGGCTTGGTTGGCCCCTGGGAGGATTTTTTGTCGACTGTCGTCCAGGAACCTTCCAGAGAGCGTATCTTTTCTCTCACCTAAGTTAACTCACCAGTTAGTATAATCACTTCCCCCGCAAGCTCCTCCAGTGCATATACAAACTGGAGACTTAACCCCCGGGGATCCTAAATCTACTGGTGAGTTATACTTTTTAGTGCTGTGGCAGCACGGTAGGCTGGCTCGGCAGACCCAGGTCTTTGCCGGCGCCGGTCGTTGCACCTACGGCCCATAAATTTGCCACGGAGCGTGGCGGGAGGCCTTTACCTCCCCAGAGAGAGTTGCACACCAACGTCCGGGTGTCGTAACCCCTCTCGCGGCTCGGCCGGTGTTCGTGCACCGTCGCCCTACGAGTCAATCAACCGGCACCCGCGAGGTTTCGGGTGCTCGCTCTTCGCGTCGGACGCTTTGGTCCGGGGCGCTTTGGCCCGGGTGCGCGGCTAATCCCTCGGCAGTAGCAGGCGTTGTCCCCCCGCTGGGGGACAAGGTCACTTTGAACCTCCAGCCCTTTGGGCCATCCTTTCTCGACGCCTCCTTGGTGCGCCTTCCATCCTTTTCCCGACGACTGGAGGTTCAGAACCGCCAGGTGCGTACGTTTTTTGTACCCGGTACTGCTTTGAGTGCCCCTGAGCCGCTGCTACTGGCGCTCTTTGGCGCTAGGGCCGTCACCTTTTTGGTAACGGTATTCTGTTGAATCCGCCCTTTCTTCTGTAGC